TCAATAAATAACCTTGTACGTGTGCTGTTTCACATACAGAGAATTTAAATTTTATTTATGATCACCTCTGGATAATTCTCTAATCTGTTGTCTTCTTTGTTATATAGCAGTTGTATCTGAATAATTACCTGATTTTTTTAAAGTAGAAATTTAAAACCAAGGATAACATAATTTGGTTAAGATAAGAGTGATCGATCTTGCATTGATATACTTTAGGTGTCTTTTCATTCTTTCATGCATTTGAGTTTTCCCAGTGCCGTGGCTTTGTTTTACTTTATAACCACTGACTGGGTCAAAATATTTTGATGTCAAGGGTTGCTCTTTGCTGTTGCTATTTTTAGTTTTCACTATATTCCTGGAGTTAAGAAATGAGGTAGATTTTTTTTTTCTAGATATTTAAAAATAACTGGCCTATTAGGTTAAGTTTGAATTTATTATTTTAAAAATATTAAAAGTAAAAACATGTTACAAAAACAATTAGATACTACATGATTGCCTATCTGATATTTCCTGCTTTCCTAATCATCAGAGTGACAGCAGTTTGATAGTTAAGCCTTTCAAATATTTTATATTACCTATATAACTTTGTTTATAATACTTTTAAAAACCAAAAATATACTCTATGTAGTATATGAACATACTCTATATTTAGAAATAATGGCTCAAAGCATTCTACTAAATTATATTATTTAACCTGCAGTATATTTGTTTCAGAAATGTCTTGCCCCCTTGAAATATCCGTGGTTTCATTCTAAGAGATCTTCAATATAAAGTGTTATGTACCCTGCATGCTTTGTTGGATTACTTGTAAAATGTCAAGATACCCAATTTATGTGGCCTACTTAGTATTTGCATTTATAGCAGACTGGCTTTCTGATTCATATTTGACAGTCATGGAAGAGTGGGGTAAATGCTTAAGAGAAGGGAGAAATGCAGATGCTTCTCCCTTTCCTCCTTTTTTACAGGTTATATATATATATATATATTAATTTCAGAGAGGAAAGGAGAGGGAGAGAGAAAGAGAAACGTCAATGATGAGAGAGAATCACTGATCTGCTGCCTCCTGCATACCCCATACTGGGAATCAAGCCTGCAACCTGGGCATGTGCCCTTGACCAGAATTGAACCTGGGACCCTTTAGTCCGCAGGCTGATGCTCTAGCCATTGAGCCAAGCTGGCTAGGGCTAAAATTTTATATACACTAAGTGAGTGGCTAGATTATTATGAACTCTGAACACATAATAATCTGGCCACTCAGAGTGTGTGTGTGTGTGTGTGTGTGTGTGTGTGTGTGTGTGTGTGTCTGTGTATTAGAGGGGCCCGGTGCGTGAATTCGTGCATGGGTGGGGTCCAGCCAGCCTGGCCAAGAGGAGGGGACATGGTTGGCTGGCCTACCTGCTGATTGAACTCCTGGTCGAGGAGACAATTTACATATTAGCCTTTTTTATATAGGATATACACTGAGTGGCCAGATTATTATGTATTCAGAGGTCATAATAATCTGGCCACTCAGTGTATGTATATGTGTGTGTATGAGTACATATATATATAATTTTCCATTTCATTTTTCCCCCCATCATTTATCTTTCTATGCCCTCTTCTACCTCCACCCCCTGCCTGCAATCACCACACTTTTATCCATGTCCATGAATTCTCTTTTTGAAAATTTCCCCACCTCCAATCCCCTCCAGAGCTATCTGCCTACTCTCTAGGAGTCTGTCTCTATTTTGCTTGGTACAGTTCATTAAATTCCACATATGAGTGAAATCATGTGGTACTTGTCTTTTTGTGTTTGGCTTGTTTCACTTAGAATGGAGATATTTTTTCCTGGTTCAATTTTGTTTGTTCTACAAATTACCCATGGAAACATTCTTACTGAAAACCGAACAACAGTATAGTGGTATTCTCACTTGGCTTTCAGTTGAATGACTTACTTAAGGCTGTACAGTGTCTAGTGGGAGCAGGCTGGAAGACCATGAGAGGATGTGTTTCCTTTTTATTTTAACATTCCACTTCTTATTTGTATTAGAAGTATTTTTTTTATGATAGATGTTTAGAGTGTTTATTGTAAATATGTAAATATTGTGAGATGGCTCAATTTAAGCTATTTTTGATTGTTAACTGATCAGTGTTGTCTGTACATCTAAACTTGTAAGTATATATGCACAGAAATAAAAGGTTTTGTTGTTGTTTAGGGATCAGAGATTAAGTGCATTGTTTTGCATCCTATCTTGGCAATTGTTCTTTCGTGAAAATTTAGAATGGGAGCAGTTAATCCCTTTTAAAATACACAGCATGCTGCCTCTTGGGACAATACAACCTCTGCAGAACCTTTTGTACCTGTGCATGTTTAGGGGCTAAGTGGTATCATGTAATTAGAGGAACGCTAAGGAAAGTTTTTAGAATATGGCACATTTAGTCAATGGTAATTATTAATTATCCTTTCTTGTACTTTTCTGTGTTTTTTTTTTTTTGTTTGTTTGTTTCCTGTCTTAGCCTTTACTCCTTCCTAAGGGCTTAAGATTGCTATAATGCAATTTGATTAACCCACATACCTTTGTCTGTCTTTATATAAAAGTGACACATGGTCTACACAGTCTGCTTCCTACTTCCATGGAGACATAGTAAGTCCTTTTCCTTCTCTGTATTTCCTATGTTGAGTACCAATCCTTTTGAGTCATATACAAGTACCACTTGATATCCAAATGTATTTGATTCTATAGTTTGGATATGTAACCTTCAAAAAGTAAGTGTGGATATCAAGAGATTTGCATTCCCTAACATACTGAGTCTGGTTCTGAGTTTCAGATAGCAAATAGTGAGAGTATGGATAGCAGGGAATTTATTTAAAGTAATCAAAATGATTCAGTTTCTGAGTTTAAAGATAGGAGAATGGATACTGAGAGTTTAGATAGCAAGGAACAATTGTATATGAATCTAGTTTGTATGCACTGAAAAAAGCTATACACAAAAGTACAATACTTTAGACCCCTAATTGGAAGAGACCTTAAAAGATCATTTATTCAGCCTCCTTTTTTGGTTCTTTCTAAAACAAACTGGTTCTCCAGTGTGTGGACATTGAGAGAGGTAAGAAGCAGACTATGCTATGTATCACTTTGGTCTCTTCTAAGTGCTAAGGAGAAGCTGGACAATAAGAGGAACCACAAAGAAAATGGGAATGGTTGAAAGTTTGTCTTGCTAAATTAAAGAAATACTATAATTGGATGGGCGAAAAAGTAGCTTCATTCTAGAAGAATGGTGTTCAATGGAGAATTAATAGTGTTGTAATTAATGTTAATAATTATTTAATTCTCTCATCTCCAGTCGTCTCTGTTGCCTTCTAAAGTACCAATAGAAGCATAAGGACCTTCTAAGAGAAAAAAATTAGACTATTTCTTTCCCTTCTTGAACGCTGTTTTTTTCCCCTTTTTCTGCTTTGGAAGGTTTATTGGACTTTGCTTCCATCTGAGCCAGAACATTGCCCTGCCCATTTCCTGTTGTCCATCCTTTTGCCCACTGGGAATGACTGGTTTCAGGTCCTCTACTCCTTCCGTAGTCCCAGCCTCTTGCAACTCATTTCTAGTTCTTCAGCCTCTTCCCGGGCCATCCTCTTCCTGCATTCCTCTTCGCTGTGATTCTTTGACAGAGGTGTTATGGGACGGGCCTCTCTGGTGAGAATGGCTTGCTGAATGAAGTTCCACATTCTGGGGTCCTCTGTGTACTGCATACCCAGCACAAACTAGTGTATTGATCCATGCCACTCATGAAGTTCACATTGGCCTGTTTAATATCAGCCAGCCCTTCCTCAGAACCTTTGTGTATCTTTTAAAAGCCTGGATGTCCTCCTCCAATATGTCTCCCAGTCCTTGTCCCCTGTTCTCTGCTTTTGGGACACTGTCCTCTAGTCTTTGTCACATAAAATGGAACCGGCAGTGGTTATGTGCCCTCCTCGTCAGCCTTCCCCTCCCATTTTGGGTTCATATGTTGGGACACCATGTGGAGAAGGTTTGGGCTTCATAACCTCAAGGTTAAAGGTCAGCAAGTTGAGTTTTTCCCTGCCTGGCTCCAGCAGACCCATGCTGGGCAAGGGTCCAGAGTGAACTATTATATATAGCTTAAGTCAAGGACCTTGAGGGAAGGGAATTTGTGTATTTGTCTCTATCTGTGACACAGAATCTTCTGCATAATAATTACATAATGGTTGCTGGTGATTATAATGCTCCTTTGAAAGTTAAGTTAGAAGTTGGAAAGGGAAGTTAAACCTGAAATTTCATTATTTTAAAAATAAATTTACGTAACCAGAACAAGTTTACGAGAATGAAAGAATTAACACTGGTATAAGCAATATTTCATAATAAATATATTTAGTCTTTGTTGAGCTAGAGAAGGGAACAAAATTATGAAGGTAGACTTTTTACAAGTGTAAAGCTAGAAGGTCCTAGGGTATTTAATTTTGGCCTGGTTTTTCCTTTCTGTCAATAAAAAGTGCTTATAACTTTGATTGGCTCTTGGTTAATTTGTTAGTGGTACTATAGGCTAAGTCTGTAGACTTGTTTTTTTATGTTTATTATCCAATCTAATATTTTAGCTCAGGTAAGTGTTTCCCTTTAATCATACGGCCAAAGTACAAAGAACAAAAAATAAAGCATTCTGTATTGCTGTCTAAGGGTCCCTCTCATCCCAGTCTTTAATTTCTGATCTGGAGGGTCTTTCTGTGGAAGCGAATATATGTACCAGTTACTTAGTAACTTCCATAGAATACCAATTAAAAATCTTTGTTGCCTCGGTTCTTATCATGAAATTTTTTAATTGTCTTCTGTGGATTACAAAGAAAAGCCTATAAGCACACTTTACAAAGAATGGACTTAGCTGTAATTAGAATTCAGTCCTTTGATAGGAAGGCAGTCTTACATACTTTTTGGCTATCTCCTATAATGCACCCAATAGTAGATCCTCACTATATATTGATTCATGAGCCAATGAAAATAATTTCTTTTTAGGGTCCTGATGAAGAAGCTGTTGTGGATCTTGGCAAAACCAGCTCAACTGTGAACACCAAGTTTGAAAAAGAAGAACTAGAAAGTAAGGCTGTTTACAAACACTTACTCTTAGGATCAACTACTAACAAATGTTCACGTCCTTTGGGTTTTACCTACTGTTTGTTGAAGTATTTGTTGTTGTGAGAAGCATACATTGAGAGGGGTGTTCAATTATATTTTCTTAACATAATTTAAAGATTAATACAACACTCATGTAAACGCTACCTATATCTGCAAATAGTACACTCCATGATATATACTCCTTGTTGAAAGTATTGGCATAACATAGATTTATAACACAGACTTCATTAATGGTTAGCATGATTTAACTTGGAAAACTGGAATACCAGCTACAAAATCAGTTAATACATTTATTTATTTATTTACTCATTCATTCATTTCTAGCAGGTTGGGTAATTTGTATTAAGAGCAAACTAGAATACCAGCCTAATAAAAGCCACAATCATCATTGGTTGTCATCTAAATGTTCATTTTATAGGTCTGTTACATCAGCCTTTTAAAATGCTATAATAACCTCAGCGTAGAATTATGGAGCAAATGAATTCTTTGCCAATCTTTCTTCCCCAAGCAGAAAGAAGTGGTTTCTTTCCTTTTTTTAGAATTTTCTTTTGAAATAAATATAGATTTACGGAAGAGTTGCAAAGACAGTACAGAGTGTTCCTGTGTACCCTTCGCCCAGCTTTTTCTGTTAACATTTTACGTAACCAGAACAAGTTTACGAGAATGAAAGAATTAACACTGGTATAAGTCTACTAACTAAATTATAGAATTTATTCAGATTTCGCCACTTTTTCCACTGATGTCATCTTTCTGTCCCAGGATCCATTTGAACAGTTTAGGATCCAATAATACATTTAGTTGTTGTGTCTCCTTAGTCTTATCTAATCTGCAACAGTTCTCTGTCTTCCTTGTTTTTCATGACCTTGACCCTTTTGGAGAGTAGTGGTTAGTAGATGTATGGCAGTTTGGGCTTGTCTAATGTTATCATATGAATAGACCAATGATTACGATGTTTAGGAAACACACCACAGAAGTGATAAACTCTTCTCAGTGTATCATATCTGTGGACATAGGATATCAGTATGACTTCTTATTGGTGATATTAACCTTGAACCCCAGGTTAAAGTGGTGTTCATGGCAAATATTTTGGTAGACTTATCTTTGGGTTTTTTTGAGGACACATTGTTAAGTTAAATTCTCTGTGAAAACTGGTGTCACTTGGGGTCATTAAGGACATGCAAAGAGACACAAGTGTTCTCCACATTTACCTTCTGAAATGGAGAAAAAAACACCCTGTCTCTTAAATTCAACTTTTAAAGTCTAGACTTACTAGGGCTTACTAGTTAGATTCTGTGAATTAGAGGGACTACAGACATTAAGACTTTTAGTAGTAATTTTACTATTTTAAATGTATTTAAAATTTACCCCATCATTTACCATTTAATGTCACACCTCAAATGTTAGTTGTCATCTAAATGTGACCTAAAATATGAAGAGAGACATTTTACTATGTTCCTTGGCCTCCCTTGGTTACCCCAAGGACCCTTAACTTTGTATATATTTAGATTTCAGTATCATGTTTGAGGGAGTGATTAGGTTTATCTCAGAGTTTGACTAGGGCTTTGATGAGAAGTAAGGGTGAAAGAAAACAGATAGAAAATTATAACAGAACACTCGGAGGCAATAACAAAAAAAAATCATAAAGCTTTAGTTTTAAATCTTTGGATTATAGCATGTTTTTATTTTATCTAAATTGCAAACTCATAAATAAGTCATCTATTTATTGTTAAATTGCTAACTCATAAAATTTATTTTTGGTTTGGTGCATCAGGGCTTGTGTACAAACACCTGTTAGTACTAATTGGGGTAATTACTTTGTAATTCTCAATGCATAGCAATGAGAATCTGACCCTTTAATTTTCACTTTTTTTTTTTTTGTATTCAGAAGAAGATAGTTTTGCTAAGATAAAATTACTAAATTTTGTTATAGCTGTCGTTTTTGTTTTTTTTTAAATCCCTTCTCTTGAGCTATAATTCAAGATCCACCATTTTAAAGTGGATAATTCATTGTTTGTTTAGTATATTTACTGTGTTGTGCAACCATCACAGCTTTCTAATTCCTGAAGTTGCCCAACATTCCAAAAAGAAGCACTTTATAACTGGTTTTTAAGTTTGGAATTTTCTGGTGAAATGTTTTCAAATAATTGATAATTAATTTCTACAGTTCTTTATTACTAACCAAAAATGAGGTAGAGTAATGGGTACTGGGAGATGTTTGTTTGTTTATATGTTTTTATTGATTTCAGAGAGGATGAGAGAGGGAGAGATAGAAACAGCAATCAATGATGAGACAAAATCATTGATTGGCTGCCTTCTGTATTCCCCCTATTGGGGATCAAGCCTGGGACCCAGGCATTTTTGCCCTTGGCTGCAATCGAACCTGGGATTCTTCAGTCCATAGGCTAATACTCTACCCACTGAGCAAAACCAACTAGGGCTAAACAGTTTTATTTATGTATTTCAGCGTAATACATAGCTGTAGGTCTGGAATCTTTTATTAAAAGGTGATTATTTACTTTATTGACATTAACATATTGGCAACTAAAACAAGAAGTCAGAGTGTCTCCTTTTTTCAGCCTTAGCTGGGAACGAATGTTGGACAAGTCAGATTTTTTGCTGCCCTGTCCATGTTTGTAAATGACTGCGAACTCTCCATCAGTTTGGGGCTACAAATAAATTTTATCAAATTGGCAGATTTGCAAATACATGAATAATCAGGATTGACTCTAAAGATGAGATCTTGAATTTCTTGAGGTATTTATTTTCTGATAATCTTATGGAATTCTTAGGAAGGGAATGACATTTCATATTTCAGCATATTACTTGTTTATATTATTTTTTGTATGTGAAAGCAAAAAGCAGCACTCTGCTGATGATTTTGCCTGGTTGCACACTTGTAGTCCATGACCCCTATTCCTCAACACAACTTCGGTAGGAACCTCATGAAAACTATATAAGAAATAAAATTAATGCTTCTTAGTAGTTGACACTAGTGCTGCTAGCTGTCTAGCTCCACAATTCAGGTTTATTTAGTAGACAAGAGCAGAGGTTGCCTTTCATAATCAATCTGTGGTTCAGAATACAAACTCAGGATATTGCAACATCAACAGCAGTTTTTTCTGTTCCAAAAGTAGATGATAACCATACAATTGTATTGCTTTGTTTTCCCAGTCAGATAATTTCTACCCTTTAATTAGAGTATTTGGACAATTTACTTTTAATGTAGCCCTCAGTAATTTGGACTTTGCTGACTTGAGATTTTCAAAACTTTTAAGAAATTAGTAAATATTTATGAATATCTTTGTAAATACATTTTTATAAAGTATTTAATTATAGTTAAAGCATATCTTAAGGACCTCTACTAACTAGGGTTGGCCATAAATGTGTAGTGCTCTGTAAAATAAGAGAAGTAACAGACTAGCTTTTTAAATTATGTGAACTTCTATGTAATTCTTTTCTATCATACTAAATTTGGTATACTTTTGTGCATATCACTTTTTTCCTTGAAAAACCAGTAATATGTTTTTGAACCATTTGCTAGGTCACCGAGCTGTATATATTGGTGTTCACGTCCCATTTAGTAAAGAGAGTCGTCGACGTCATAAGCATCGTGGACACAAGCATCACCATCGGAGAAGAAAAGATAAAGAGTCAGATAAAGAAGATGGACGGGAATCTCCTTCTTATGGTAAAAGAAAAACAGTTCTTTTCTAAAAAGATTTTTTTAATTGAGTGTTTTCTTTTTAAAATTGTATGTCTGCAATAATTTGGATACATGTATGCACTGAAGGATATTAATTGAAGTAAGAATATTATTTTCTACATAAAAATACACTGAGTGGCCAGATTATTATGATTTCTGAATGCATAATACCCGTGTTTCCCCGAAAATAAGACATCCTCCGAAAATAAGACCTAGCGCAACTTTGGGAGAAAAAATTAATAGAAGACACTGTCTTATTTTCGGGGAAACAGGGTAATCTGGCCACTCAGTGTATATCCTATATAATAAGAGGCTAATATGCAAATTTTCCCCTTGACCAGGAGTTAGACCAGCAGGCAGGCCAGCCTGACTGCCCATGTCCTTTTCTCCTGGCCAGGCTGGCTGGACCCCACCCATGCACGAATTCATGCACCGGGCCCCTCTAATACACACACACACACACACACACACACACACACACACACACTCTGAGTGGCCAGATTATTATGTATTTAGAGATCATAATAATCTGGCCGCTCAATGTATTTAGTTTATAGGTTAAAGTCTACTTGGGGTAAATGCAAAAATAGGGGGCTTTGTTTTCATTGTATTCCAGTCTTGGAATTGTGCAAGTTGAGTTTGGCACTCACACTTCAAATTAGTAGGGTTTTATTTATCTTTTTCTATTAATATATTTTATTATTTACATGAGCAATGACCAAATATCTGGAATTTTCAGGATCCGGAAAGAAATTGAATATTTTATTTCATTTTTAAATATTTTGGCCAGAAGATATTATCTACCAAGCTGGATTACTTGATTAAGCAAAAAAGAGTGCTCTGATTTGATAATATGGTTTATGGAAGGATGGGGTTTTGTTTGAAAGTAGAGAAACATAGAAGTACCAAAAGACAAGAGAAAATAAGAAGAAAAAGGCATATATTGTAGTAGAGGAAAGAGAGTGTTATCTGATAATAAATATCGTTGGTGATGATTTAAATGGTCCTGAGAGGTGGGAATGGTCAGTTGCCCTTAGTTGGTAGTAGTTTTTTAGGACAAGATGGGCTCACATGGCCCTCTTTACACTAGTGTGTGTGCCTTCCAGCAAAGCTCTGTGAGTTGTGTCCCTTTCGACACTTGTGTGCTATAGTAAAGGAACGTTTTTGTGAAGAGAGAAAGAATTACTGTGTATAATACAGCTACAGTATGAACATAAGGAAGAAAATACTGATGGCTTAGTAATATTAAGTGCCAGTTCTGTGCCAAGCATTGCACCAAGCCCTTGACATATACTTTTTTATTTACTCTTCTCTGTATCTTCTAGGAAATGGGTATTATTGTTTTCATTGTACAAATGGAAAAACTTCAGCTTAGAGAGGCAAAAGGTGGCCTTAACAGCCTGCATTAAAAGATAATAATAAAATATTTTAGTGCTCATATAGCTAACAAAGGTCACGTGGCTAGCCATGGAAAAAGATCACTAGTGAACTTTGATGATTTAAAGCAATTAAAAGTATTTTGCTGTTCCATGTCGTGTATCCATCCAGTTTAGGATATCTTAGGCTGTTCTGTGAGTGGATCAGTATGTGTCTGTAATTCATACTGAATAAAAAGGCACACAATATTTTTATAGAAATGCTGTTGACTTAACTGTGAGTAATGTTTATCTGTTCACTTGGGTGGGTGATTTGATGGTTCAAGCTAAGTTATGATTTTGAAGTCTTAATTCAGTGGCTTGAAAATAAATTTGGCATAGGTCATATTTATGACTTTTTAATGGAATAACTATCCCTAGAAAAGTTTTATGCTGCTGAGTTTGGTTTATTTTGGTTTCAACTGCCAATATGTATCCTAGAAATTGCTATGAATGAAGTCCCTTCATTCTTTTCCCCACTCTCTAAAAAGAGATTATAGAGGACTTTGGCTTCTGAAATGATGGAATAACAGGACTAATTGGATTTGCCCTCCCATTTTAAACAGCAAAATGGGTAAACTATACGAAATGGTAATTTTTAGACATTGGGCAACAGGCAGCACAGGTCTCTGTGAGAGGATAAGCAAGTTAGATGAGCTATATGGTTGCCTTTCCCCCTATTATAAACAAAAATATAAACAAAAACCCTCTTTCTGGAGTTTTTCCTGTTCAACTTTCTTATTCTGTTTTCTGCATCTCTTAACCTTTTGTGCTTTTCATCTTATTTGTCATCAGTGCATTCTGTCTGATTTCCTCAGATCTGCCTTTTCCTTTCATAATTCCCTCTCATTTTCTCTTTAACTAGTTCTGATACCTGTTTGTTGCATCTACAAGTGCATGAACGTTTGTTTACTTCAGTGTGTAGTTTGAGTTTGAGGTTATCTCTCATGTTTAGCAGAATTTGAATTTGTTTTTAATTATTGCTTATTGTTGTTTGATAGTTTGCTTCAACTGTCCTAGACTAGGATTTATGCACATTTCTCTGTTTGGAGATTCCATACTGCATAGTTTAAATTCGGATGCCATGCATGGGGTATTTGTTTCGTATCATGACTGCCCTGTCTCCCTAACCTCAGCTGACAGAGTTTGGCTCCTCCATGATATTAGGAAAAGTTGGTTTCTATATACCTATAGTTTGGGATTTTTCATATTTTTTTGGAACTTGGAAATTTTCTTTTTTTCACTCTTGAACTTAGCTACATATAAATTACATATTTTTTAATGTTCTATTTTACTTAACATTTCCACATATTTTTATTGAGGGGAACGTCCTGTCTTTGAGCATAGTATATTCTATGGTTTTAGATGTTGCTTATTTTCATTTGTTTGTTTTTACATAAGTTAGTTACAAGATTAGTCTTATTTATTTTTAACATATAAATTTTCTTTTTCATCTGTGATATGATCTTTCTGTGTATTTTTTTTTTTTCTTTTTCTTTTTTGAGCTTACTTATGTATAACCAAAGGATTTCCCTTTCGAAACTTAATTTAATCTTTGGATGGAGATCAGTATTGAATGTATTTCAATTCTTATTTTCTTAAGACACACCGTCCCAGAGGGTTCAGTTCATTCTTGGGACAGAGGATGATGATGAGGAGCACATTCCGCATGACCTCTTCACGGAGATGGACGAGCTGTATTACAGAGATGGTGAAGAGTACGAGTGGAAAGAAACTGCCAGGTAACCAGCACTAGGTCTCCGTAAGAAGAACTGCAACGATAACTTGTGACTAATAGATATTGTAGACCATTGGCCTAATTGGTAGAAATGCATTTCTTAACCAAATTGTGTTTTGGTGGTGGTGATTCTTGTTTCTCTTTAAAGGAATAAGTTTACGTTTACCATATTAAAATAGACCAATGAAATCATTATTATTTATATATAAAATATTTTTATATATTATCCATTTCAGATGGCTGAAATTTGAAGAGGATGTTGAAGATGGTGGTGACCGGTGGAGTAAACCCTATGTGGCAACTCTCTCTTTGCACAGTCTTTTTGAACTAAGAAGTTGCATCCTAAATGGAACAGTCATGCTGGATATGCGAGCAGGCACTCTAGATGAAATAGCAGGTTATAGCAAATTGATGCTTTTATGTTTAAGTTGTACTGAAATTAGAGGTTCTTAAGTAAGGGAAATAAAGTAGAATTTTTAGACCTTGCTATAGCCATCCAAATTAAAAATAGTCCAATCACCACAGAAATTTATAAATGGCATCCCCATCCATCTCCCCATCCCCTATACCCTCCTTATAGACTAATATATTCATTTTCCTAGAACTTATTACTTCATGATATTTTATCTATTTGCTCATTGTTGCTATACCTCTGGAAGAATGAGAGCAAAAACTTAATCTGTTTAGCTTACTACTGTATTTCCAACATATAATAGGTACTCAGTAAATAGTTAAGTGATTAAATGAATGATTTAAGATATTCATCTACAGTTTTGGGGGAAAGTATGAGGCAACACAATTAAATACCATCACTTCTTAGAAAGCCAATATTATTGAATATTCAGTTTAATAGAATTTATTATATTCTTATCAGGAAAGCACTTTCAACTATAGGGAGGCTATTAGTGTGTAACAGTGGCTTCTTTATAAATAATAGTACTTATTAAAATAAGGCTCTTTATGTAATTTGTTCATTTTTGTTGGATAATGTTCATATTTATCTTGATGCATACATTATTCAGTACAAGAAAAGAATAATGCTTTCCAGAGCTATGTAAGAATCTCATTTTCTTAGTGCAGTTTCACTTACAGTTTATTCCATGCTATAATCATTCAAGTGTTAGTTTATTTATTTATTTGTTTATTTTTTCTTGGAATAGATTTGGTATTGGACAACATGATAGCCTCTGGCCAGTTGGATGAATCCATTAGAGAGAATGTCAGAGAAGCTCTTCTGAAGAGACATCATCATCAGAATGAGAAAAGATTCACCAGTCGGATTCCCCTTGTGCGATCTTTTGCAGATATAGGCAAGAAACATTCTGATCCTCACTTGCTTGAAAGGAATGGTGAGATAAGTTATGGCATCCAATTTTTTCTAACACTTCTATTCTAACAGCATTTTAGTATGTTACAATTAGCATTTGGGAAAAGAAAAGTATTTTTTCCCCCAGATAATTACACAGGCCATTTTCTTTTTGGTTATTTTTAAAAAAGAGTGTTGTTTATTTATTTTGAAGATGTAATTTCTAAAATGTTTTTTCAATGTGCCAGAATTATCTGTAGAAATCATTTAGATAAAAATGAAGCATTCACTCTATTAATATGGCAACTTAAGTATCAGTAATATTTAAGTACTGTCACTATATCTAACTCTGAATTCCTTTTCCTTTCTGCTTTTTTGTGTCCGAGAATTCTTGTATAATTGATTAAAGAGGCTTAGATTATGATCTATAAATTTAGTATAATCTTTTAAAAATTCTAAATCTTGGGTTTGAACTTTATTATCTATATTAGATTTTTGCTAGTGATTTAAAAAAAATGTTTTTTGGTCTCTTGAATATACTTTATTTCTGGGTATAAACAAGTGTTTTGGGGTTGGTTTCCTGATTTCACTGCTTTTTCTTTATATGTTTTGTGAAAAGTTTTTATGATTGCTCCTATCTTATGCTATAAGTAACCTAATTGATGTCTTCCACAGACCTATATATTTCCTCTCTCCACTCTCCTTCATGGTCTAGCAGTGGGGTTATATGTGGGGTGTGGGGAGACTTTGTTTTGTTTTGTTGTTTTAGCCATTTACTTTTGTCACTAGCTTAAGGCTGGGACACATGGAGGCCTTGCCTTTCCTCTTTTTAAAGCGGAGGATTACATCACTGGGGTTCTATTTTGGCTGTCAAAGATAGCTGATGACAGCAACTTTGAAAACCCAGGTGCAGAGGGTTAGAGTTGCTTATGAGGGTCACTGTTTCCTCTCACTGTTGCTATTACTCAAGGCTTAGGAGGATTACAGTGAAGAGGAGTGGAGGATGGGCCACTATGACTTTCTATCCCTAAAATAATAAGGCTTTTAAGTGTTCTACAGGCAAACAGCATAATTGATAGGGTATAATTTATCTAAAGTTGACAGTAACCATTGTTAGCTCAGGGTAAAATACTTGTTCATTTTCTTCTGATCATTTGATCACTAAAATAAAAGTATTTTTTTCTTTTTTTTTAAACTTTATTTTTATTGTTGACACTATTACAGGTGCCCCCATCCCCACTCCTTTACCTACCCCACCCAGCTCCCACCCCCCAAAAGTCTTTTTAATCTGTTTTAAATTGGGCCTTTGTACAGTAAAGGAAGCTTAAGAATAAAATAAATCTTTTATGGTCCTAAGTTCAGTTTAAAAGCACTCCTTGTATGTCACATTTTGCCTCTCATCTATATCCTTCATGTATTGTATGTTTTCTACTTCCATGAGATGGGCTCATTTACCCAGAGAGACCCTCTGAAATCTTTATGCAGTGATTCCAGATTATTTCCAATTGTCATTTGGTTTCTTTTCATCATAAGACAATGGGTGTGTGTGTGTTTTTTTTTTTTTTTAAATAAGGGAATTGTGTTGTTTCATTGCTAGTATTGTAATTTAACAGTTTCCCTGCATGTATCTTTATTTTTTAACTAAACACATTGGTTGTTTATGGGTTGAAGATTAATCTTTATTTTTAATATTCTGGGATCTTTGGAGCATGTAGCTTTAATTACTTAGACATAGATCATATGAGATTGATAGTTACATTTCTTGTTTTCTTAAAAACAATGGCATTTTATAAAGCTATACTTCATAGTATAAGCTGTTATTACTGGTAAAGTTTTGTGTTGGATTCTATTTCTTAGATTTTTGTATTATGTTCTTATTTAATATTATTTATTTAAGCAGCAACTTTGCATTGATATTGTTCTTTTTTTTTTAAAGCCACTGTTGGACATTCTAATTATTAATAATATTGTCCACTACCTTCTACATTAACAATTTTGTTGTTACAAAAATTTTTTTGGATTCACCTTCAGGGAACTAATTACAGCTTAAACAATTTTACAGTGACTTTCTAATATTTAAAAGTCTGATTGCCTGATAGCATGAGTTTGCAGTGTTGGGTCTGGAAAGCTTGCTATTTACAGTGTGAATTGATTTTCTTGGTGTGTGTTTCTATTTGTCTTCTGCAGTGAACTTCATCATTTTTCATTTATTTGTTTTACCTCAGGGGAAGGCCTTTCAGCCTCCCGCCACTCTTTGCGAACAGGCCTGTCAGCCTCAAACCTTTCCCTGAGAGGAGAATCACCTTTATCTCTTCTTCTCAGTCATCTTCTCCCTTCTTCAAGAGCTGGAACCCCTGCAGGCTCGAGGTGTACAACCCCAGTGCCCACCCCTCCAAACAGCCCTCCTTCTAGCCCTAGCATCAGTCGCCTGACCTCCAGAAGTTCCCAACAGAGTCAGCTGCAGGTCCCAGAACTACTGGTTTCTCCTGCCAGTGATGATATTCCCACAGTAGTAATTCATCCGCCAGAGGAAGACTTAGAAGCATCGAAAGGCCAGGAGCAGAAGAATGAGGAAAATGTTGACATAACTCCAGGCAACTATTTACAATCCTCCCCGCGTGGTGCTTTCTGCCTCTGGGTCACTTGCACTTGGAATGCCTTTTAGCACCGAGCTTTAGCAGCATTTGTAGATGATGCTTGTAATTTATTTTGACTTCTGCATGTTTCCCCTCTCCCCCCACTTTACAATATATTTTAGAAAAGAATAGCATTATTAAAAATTTTAAGTTATAAGAAGACCACATGACTTAATAAGCCCTTTCAAAAATTTTCACTGAAATTTACAGGTCCACCTGCATTTGAATGGTTCAGGAAAATGTAGAAGTTTTGATACATAATCTTTCAATTTGCCATGATTTTTAGAAAATGGTGGCTTTTCTTATGCATTAAGGTGAATAATGCATTGTGCATGAATGATAATGAGGTGAGGTGCCTTTTATCTACTCTTTGGTGCTTTTGTCCAAAGAATGCAGTATGTTTTAACCTTTTTGACAATAATAGGATCTAATGTTCTTGTTCTCATTTTGTCTGAGAAAGTTGATGTTCCCTAAGGACTGCCTCAACTCATCATTATTTCAAGATTAGTATTATATTTTGGAATAGATTTTAGTTGTCTATTACTTAATTAATGTCATAACTATCTTTAATCCAAATTGACCTGGAACTTTTCAAGGCCAGTGTTTATGTAGTTGTGACTAGAGTATATTTTTGTATGTGAATTAGAAAAATTATTTCTTAATGGATAAAAGTTTTGTAACTTATTTAAGGTTTATGTATTGTGAAAATCTTGGCTCTTTTATGCTAACGATATGTACATTGATACATCCATTTATGCCCAATTCATATGAAGTATTCTTTAGTGACTACTGGAAGTCAAGTATCAATGTGATAATATGCAAATACTACCTACTGTTTTTAACCACCTGGTATTATCACACTTATTATAATACCAATAATATGTAACACTTCAATGGTAGTTTATAGTTATTAAATTAGCCTATTTAATAGGTATAAAAATTTGTTATGTGGTTACAACCATTTTCAGAAACTCAAACTCGGAAAAGTTAAATAATTTCCCCTGGGTCATACTAGCTAATACGTGACAGCCTGAGTAGCCTGACTAAAAATCTCTATATGCAAGCCTCACACTCTCTTTGTTGGCTATATCCAAACATGCCAAATGCATTTAATGAAAGCTCATTGTACTGCCCTGGCTGGGTGGCTCACTTGGTTGGAGCATCGTCTCTATACAGAAAAGTCTCCAGGTCATGGCACATACCTAGGTCGTGGGTTTGGTCCGGGTTGGAGCCTGTACGAGAGGAAACCAACTGATGTTTCTCTCTCACATGGATGTTTCTCTCTTTTCTCTACAGTCAATAAAAATATCCTCGGGTGAGGATTGAAGGGAAAAGAAAGCTCATTATAGTTGTCAAAAAGTGATATACTTTTAGAAATAAAAAAAATTAGAAGTTGTATGGCTAAATAATTATGGCAGTTATGATTTGATTGTAGTTAAAGCCACCATTGTTTTATAGTTTGTTCCACACATAGGTATAGTCGCTTTTCAGATACCATATTTCTAATTCTTTGTATGATATGATAAGGTTCGTGCTATTTCACAAGTGAAGAAAATTATGACTTAGAGATGTTAAAATCATACTGTAAATAACCAGAGCCAGGACTTGAACTCAGATCTACCTAGAACAAAATCGATACTTGTTCATACCGATATCTCAGTAATACTGAATATTTCTTTCTTTCTTTTTTTTTTTTTGGCCAGCTTCTATGTTATTAATAATGAGGGACTACAAATTTTATCTAGGGAGGAAGCTTACTAGGCCATGCTGTTAAGGGATAAAAGGAGCAATTAACTGAGAATTGAGGAACACAGTCCTTTTCCTCCTCTGCATTAAGTATGCCAGGAGATTTATCAGCCTTTCTAAAGGAAAAGAAATTAGAATGGAAGACAGAGAATTTCTAAAGATAAGAAAAAGCTCACAATTAATGTTTAAGAAAATAGCTATAGAAGATATGTAATTAAAATAATAGGAGCAGCTATATATTATTCTGTGTTTAATTATATTTGGTGTTTAAAGCGCCTAGAAACTATAGTTTAACTTTCTTGGAGTCTGATGCTATGTTAGAGAAGGAAGTAGGTGGCCTCGGCATAATTTTGGAAAGACTAATGTCATAGATATTTGTGTCATGGGTCATGCTTTGTGCATACCCATAGTTGAATAGAAAGTGGTGTCTCCCATTTGTGGTTCTTTCAGAGAATAATTATGTAAAAGAGGTAGACTCATTTCTAGTATTTGTAACTATCTTCTCAGTGATTTTTCAACTGGTGTGATGTGGCTCAAGAATTTTTTAAACCTGCAATACCTGACTGTTTAGTCGGGGGCACTGATCTTTTTTTCCTTGGATTGTCAAATTAAAAAATGAGAACAGCCGAAACTGGGTTGGCTCAGTGGATAGAGCATCGGCCTGCGGACTGAAAGGTCCCAGGTTCAATTCCTGTCAAGGGCATGTACCGTGGTTTCTGGCACATCCCCGGTAGGGGTTATGCAGGAGGCAGATGATCAATGTTTTTCTCTCATTGATGTTTCTAACTCTCTATCCCTCTCTCTTCCTCTCTGTAAAAAGTCAATAAAATATATTAAAAAAAAAAATGACAACAGCTGCCACAACAGTAGCTCTCCGGTGTGAATGCCCTGTCTCGAACCATAAACATATAAGTCATATAATAGGTATGTATCTTATTGGTCACGTCACATAATAATAATAGTAAAGTTGCATCTGATTGGTTAATTCTTGGTACCAAAAGTCCTTATATAAGTATAGGACCTGATTTTTAAAAAAGGTGACTTTGGAGCAAAAGGATAGGTAATAACTATTATAATTTTTTTTTATAGTAAATCAAAGTTATACCTACTTTTTTTTTTTTTTTTGTCAGTTAAGCAAATATATTTTTTGTGTGTTACAGAATTTTCCATGAAATGAGAAAAGTTGAGAATCACTGTTCTAACTCAAGGTTTCTCAGCCTTGGCACTATTGACATTTTGGGCCAGACCTTTCTTTGTTTCAAGGGCCTTTGCTGTGTACAGTAGGATATTTAGCAGCATCCCAGGCCTTCCTTTGCCAGCTGTCAGCAGCACTCTCTAGCTGTGACAACCAAAATGCCCCTGCACATTGCCTCTTGGGGGACAGAATCTTCCCACATTGTGAACCATTGCTCCAACTGCTTCTACTTGCAAACTTTTAATGACAGAAAACTCTTGATAACTTTGATTTATCTTTCTCTAGTATGATTGTTGAATCTCATTATTGAGGTCATATGTACACATACTCACATTTTTTCATTTTTCTTAAAGAAATGTCCTTCTGAGTTATCTATGCTAATGGTAGTTTGAACTTTGGGGACTTTGCGCATTTAACTCTGAGCTCTAGGGATTTATTGCACTAGCAGGGAGATTTCCTTTACTGATGGAGAAAACAGCTTTAGCTTAGCTGAAATTGAGAAAGGCTACATAGAGAAGATAATAGTGGGACACTAACACTTACCTGGCCTGGCAGTTTTTACAGGTTTAAGATGGCCAGCTTAGCTAAGAGACTTCAGGTCGCATCTTCTGGCTTTACCAGCAAGTAGTTCCATATCATTTCTTCTTCCCATTCCTACCTTATCCTTACTTTCCCCCATAACCTTCTTCTTATTCCACTATTCTCTCCAATGTGTTTGCTGGGACTCTTCTGGAAAACTGTGCACATGTACTCTTTGATTACATATCTACAGATTGAATATTTTTAGTAGTTACAAGTATAGATGCATTGATACTCTGTTGTACTTGCTGCCAGGGCCTTAATGATATTCATCATTGTGTGGGAGTTGGTGTAAACTACTGGAAATACGAGTTAACTTTTCCCCACTCCCGGGCATGTATTTTAATAAAAAGACTGTCTTCTGGAAATTTAGGAACAAAGGTCAAAGAAGAGGAATCTTAATGACTTTTCTGTACTAAGCTAAAATGCAAAAAAAAAAAAAATAATAATAATAAAATAATAAATAAGTTAAGTTTTAGGAAACATTTTACTTATTTCAGAATTCTCTAACACTTCCAGAGAATGAGCATGTTGCTAAATGGATTGGGTATGCTTTTTCATACTGAGATTTTGGGGCCACAGTGATATCCTAGTTTAGCTATTTAATAGAGAAGTGGATATTACAAAGATCTCTCATTGAGTTTAAACAGTAAATTTGAATGACTTGGTATAAGTTATTAGTAATAGAATGTTATCTTCTAGAAAAATGAAAACTTTCTAAGATGCATCAAATATATGTGGTGTGAGTTCCTGTGGGTCACTAGATTGCCCTGTGAGTGGTAAAATCTGTCATAAGTCTTGTGCCTTTTCTCCTGTGGTACTAAGTGTTTTATATTCTTGAACTAGAAATCTTAGGTGTTTTGAGAAAATGAAATATACCTAATGGTAGAAATCTGGATTGTATTTAAAATTTTATGAGATTTGAGCTTTTTGCAAAAGTCACAGTGATAACAATTGGTCTTATGTTACAGGGTGTTGTTAGGTTATTTTATTGTTGTGAAATGTTGTTGCTGTCACTTGAAATGAACTTACTAATGCTGGGACATTAGTGTTACTTAGACAAGCTCATTTTATAGAATATACTAGAGGCCCATTGCATGAATTCATGCACCAGTGAGGTCCCTTGGCCTGGCTGAAATCAGCTCTCTGACATCCCCTGAGGGGTCTCAGATTGCGAGAGAGTGCAGGCCAGGCTGAGGGATCCCACCGGTGCACAATCGGAGCCAGGGAGGGATGCAGGAGGTTGGCCAGCTGGGGAGGGGCTGTGGGAGAGCTCCAAGGCATTTCCAGCCTGTCTCACTCAGTCCTGATGGGTGGGACCCCAGCAGTAAGCTAACCTACTGGTTGGAGCGTCTACATCACCCCCCACCCCCACCCCCCGGGGTCAGTGTGCATGTCATAGTGATGGTTGAGCGGCCTTAGCATATCATTAGCATATTAGGCTTTGATTGGTTGAACAGACAATTGGACACTTAGCATATTAGGCTTTTATTATATAGGACATATATCATTTTAAAAATATATATATATTTTATTGATTTTTCACAGAGAGGAAGGGAGAGGGACAGAGAGCTAGAAACATCGATGAGAGAGAATCATCGATCAGCTGCCTCCTGCACCAGGGATGTGCCCGCAACCAAGGTACATGCCCCTGATTGGAATTGAACCCAGAACCTTTCAGTCCGCAGGCCACACTCTATCCGCTGAGCCAAACTGGTTTTGGCAGGACATATATCATTTCTAATCCAAACAAACTAATTTTAAAAGTTTACCTGCATCTTAGAGGTTACATGAGTTAAAGTCACATGGCTTACAAAATGGCAGAGTGCTTATTTCAACACAGATCTGTTTAAATAAAAAACTCTAACTCTTTCTCCCTAGCTTATTTGGCTCAGTGGATAAAGTGTCTGCCCATGGAGGGAAGGGATCCGTATTAGATTCCAGTCAAACGCATGTGCCTTAGTTGCAGGCTTAATCCCTGGCCCTGGTCACATTGATGCTTCTCTCTCTGTCTCTCCCTCTCTCGCTCTCGCTCTGTCTCTCCCTCTCCCTTCCACTCTCTAAAAATATAAATGGCAAAAAATTTTCTCAGTTGAGGATTAACAAAAAAAGAACAAAAAAAAACAAAAAACAAACACACACACACACACACACACACACACACACACTTTCCTCTTTGTATTTATATTATAATATAAAAAACATTACTATTATATTGAGGAAACTGTTATGATTGTGGAGCATTGTGGTACATTTAACCTAGCTCTTAAGTTTTCCCACACTTAGGATTTATCAGAAAACTTATATTGTTATTAATGCAAGCATGTGAAGTTAGTTAGGCATCATTAACCTCTGCAGTTCACATGTATGTTAGCTATATTGAAAGTGTAATCTCTAAACATTTGTAGTAGTAATCAGACTCATGTCTTCCCTCTTCTGTGGTTCCACACCTACTCACTTTTTCTTTTTGCAAAGGTCACCATTTTTATAATAGTATTATTAAAAATGTTAAAATATATAGCTTTAATATTGCTTAAAATGTTATTTTGGTCTTGCTGGTTTGGTACTAACACTTGGCACTTTTTTTTTTTTTTTTTTTTTTACCTTGCACATTTGCTTTTAATAAACCATCACTTTCAGGAGATGAGCAGAATCAGTGATTTTTCTTCTTACTAATTTGGAATTTATTCTCGAATACAGGTATTTTGGCCTCTCCACAGTCTGCACCTGGAAACTTGGACACTAGTAAAAGTGCAGAGATGAAAGGTAATGGAGGTGGAGGAAGCAGAGAAAATAGTACTGTTGACTTCAGCAAGGTAATTCTGTCATTCACTGTACGTTTTCCTAATCATTCTTACTAAGAAAATCACTGGCAGTGATCTTTTATTAACATTGATTATAATAATTTTTTAATAGACTGGTGATTACAAACCTGCCTGTGATGCTTGTGATAGGTTAATTTAAGGTCTGAAATTGTAAGAAAGGTAATTGTCTAGGAGTACTTGACTATGACTATATCTTACTAGTTTTAGAAATTCTGACTAAAGAATATCTGAATGATATGGTGTTTTCATCTGTACCTACCCATAGATACCATGAGACTTTAGTACCTTTTAAATTCTAGTTATTTATTCTGGAGATACCACCACTAGAAAGGTTAATTCTGGGAATGATGTTACAGCAGTGGTAATGAAGTCAGCCTTTTTCTGGCTGTAATGTGATTCCAAAATCACTGTCTTATGGCGTCAGCAGTTTCTGATGAAATTAGGCATGTTCAAGGCTGCAGATGGTGTCAGTACTTTTTGGAATGTCACTGGGAAGCATATTGGCGCTTCCCCATGGGTAGGTAAAGGCATGGATTTAAAAACAGAAAATGTATTTAAAAAAAAAAAAAAGGAGCAAAAACTACAAGTACCAATTACAATAGAATGTAAAGAGTACTTTATGAGTACTACTTCCGCATAATTCATTCTAAAGGCTATTTTAATATAATGCTGTTAATTTAATTTGCTACAGGACTTTCAATGCTTTAATATTTTTGTATCTAACGTCAGACATTCAATTAAATGTGATTATTCCAAGTGAGATTTGTTCAGTCTTTCATGATGCAAAGCATAGATCACATTTTGTAGAGAAGGAGTTTAGATGATGATCTGTGCTATGCAACTTTGCTGCATTTTGTGCCCTACAGTCATAGGAAGCCTTGCATATGGGACACTGACTACGAACAGGCCGTTGTGCTCACTCGGTTATATTTTTACTGATGCTCCTCTTATTTCAGATGAGTGAAAAGTGTTCAGGAACTGAATTTCAAGTTATTCTTATGAAAAGAGTCCACGAGCGTAGTTTAAATTATAGATCTCCTCTAGACATGGCAGCTGCCATTTATTTTTGTTCCTCTGTCACAGTTTTGCTTTTTTTTTTTAATTGGCCTATTCTTGTGTGCTCCTCCTTGTCTCCTGTTGGGCAGGAGTCTGCCTCCTGGCACTGTAGTTGTGGCACACTGGGTGTGGGACTCAAGAGGCCCGCTGTAAGTGCTGCTTTCTTGTTAATGGATAGCCCTGTAAGTGGTTGTTTAGTGACTTGTGTTGAAAGTGTGTATAAACGACGAAGCTCCCGTGCTTTGATATCCTGTTTGCGACCTATCCTTGGTAATTATACACAGACACTCAAATTTGATTATACGGCACTACCTTGTATTTATACCAGTAATGGCTATTTTCATTTTGAGTAAAAAATAAAAACGGAAACTTCCCCCTATTTAATGAAAATACTGGGGAATGCTCAGAGTTCTTTAAAATAAGAAGGACTTATAAAAAAGACAAAGGGACTAACTCATTTCTAAGATGAAGTTATAGATTATCATGAAGTGAATATGTTTTAGCACTGTGTATAATTTCATGAGCTATTGCTAGTTTGTGAACTATACTTTTGTCTTTAAAATAATTTTTAATGAATAGTGCTGTGTTCATTGAAAATTTTTTTTTCTCGTTTCTATGTTTGGTAATTTAGATCTCTGAAATAGTAAAAATTATGACAGTTGAAGCAATTGGGAATATTTTTTCCCAGATGTATTTGGCTTGCTTTTTTTGTATTTGTCTATTCCATCCTTTGTGAGAATTTTGACATTTATACCTTCTTTAGATCACCAGTTTAGTCTTACAGGCATCTTTTCTTTACTGTTTCCCTCTAAATAGTCTTATAAGTACCATGTAAATTTTATTTTAAATGATTATTTGTCTATAGGTTGATATGAATTTCATGAGGAAAATTCCTTCGGGAGCCGAGGCATCCAATGTCCTGGTGGGAGAAGTAGACTTTTTGGAAAGACCGATAATCGCGTTTGTGAGACTGTCTCCTGCCGTTCTCCTCTCAGGGCTGACCGAAGTCCCTGTTCCGACCAGGTAAAGAGTTGGCTCCAATGAATGCGCTCTCAGCATGTCCAGAATCTAAGTATTTTCCTACTGCAGGAACAGGTTCCATTATGTATGTAGTAAAAGGTCATTTTAATTATTGATGTTGCCATTGTGCAAAAGGCTTTGACTACTAGGGGATAAAAGTATGATCTCTCTTTTTATTTTTGAATAACTTTTTTTTTTTTTTTAATTGACTTTAGAAAGAGGAAGGAGCCAAAGCCGGTTTGGCTCAGTGGTAGAGCGTCTGTCTGCGGACTGAAAGGTCCCAGGTTCGATTCCAGTCAAGGGCATGTACCTTGGTTGCGGGCACATCCCCAGTAGGAGGTGTGTAAGAGGCAACTGGTTGATGTTTCTCTCTCATCGACGTTTCTAGCTCTCTATTTCTGTCCCTTCCTCTCTGAAAAAATCAATAAAATATATATTTAAAAAAAATAAAAATAAAAAAAGAAAGAGGAAGGAAAGGAGTGTGAGAGAGGGTGTGAGGGAGAGAAGCATTGATCTGTTGCCAGGACTGGGGACCGAACCCAAAACCTGGGTTTGTATCCTGTCCAGGAATGGAACACGCAACCTTTCTGGGATGACAGTTCAACCAACTGAGCCACACCAACCAAGGCCAATCTCTCTTTCTGAAACTAAAGAAAACAAAGAGGCCGGGGGAGGGGGGGGGAGAGTATATCTATAATACTTAAAAAAAAAAAAAATATATATATATATATATTATTGATTTTTTACAGAGAGGAAGGGAGAGGGATAAAGAGTTAGAAACATTGATGAGAGAGAGAAACGTTGATTAGCTGCCTCCTATTAGCCAGCCCCCCCCCCCCCCCCCCCCCCCCCCGGGATGTGCCTGCAAACAAGGTACATGCCCTTGACTGGAATCAAACCTGGAACCCTTCAGTCCTCAGGCTGATGTTCTTTTCACTGAGTCAAACCAGCTATAATACTTTCTATAATACTTTCAACTATAAAGATTAATTTAAAGTATTGCAGCATGAAAAAATATTGCATTGATACTTTTATAAGAATTTTGGCATCTCAGGAGTTTTGGTTTAAAAAATGGTTCATTTTAGATATATGATCTGTGCAGGCACTGGAGTCAGAAAAAATGGAGTTGAATCCTTGCACTTCCACTTTTGTGGGAGGGTCAGACCTGACTTAAATTTTCTAAGCTTCATTTGTAAAATGAGGATAATAATAACTTACAGTTGATTAAATTGATAATGCCCATGAATTGATAAAGAGCTTTGTTATGATCTGACCAAAATCTTCTGTTCAAAATACATTATGAGTAAAAATGAAAATAGGGGTAATATCCTTAAGAATAATTATCAAGTTGTTCTATAAAGAGTGATCAGTTCCTTAGCTATTGACTGTATAAACTTAATTCAAAATGAGAATAATTTAAAAATGATTTTTATAATAGTAAATCTGAGGAATTAATTGCAACTTGATTGAAATGTACGTGCCAATTTTCAATATGCTTTACTAAGGTGCATTAATGGTGTAGTAAGTAGTAAGATAGATGAGAAAAATAATTCTATAGATTCGTATTAACATTCTCAAAATAGGAAGATGAGTACTTCTAGTTTGGATAAGTATAAATATTAAATTTTACTGTCGTTAATAAAGGACAAAATTATATAGGAAGTTAGTTACTTTTTATTTAGTCACTATAAGTAAATTAAAAAATCAAGTAATAGTTGGTTTGTTGATAAATTTGGAGCTGTAGATAAAAATTTTTTTTCTTTCCAAAGGAATTAGACCCTTATTTATTACTATACTAATATTAGTCTTAATCCAGATTATATTTTGAGGATTTGTGTGTGTTTTTTGTGTATACTCTTTAATTATCGTATAATACTAGGCAAACCTTTTAAGTACCTCAATAGAATTGGTATTCACTTATTTACTGTCAAACAGACCAGAGAAAATTGTTTACTCAGATTCAAAACGATATAGAAGATGGGAATTTTTAATGTAAAACACTCCATTCCTGAATTACTATCTTACCCTAAGGAAGATGGGAAGTTATAACTTAGTAGGAAGCTAATTGTGAATGCCTTTCTTAGTTCTGTGATTTGCTTTAGTCTGAGTAGAGTTGCCAACTTTTTTCAGTGATTGGGTTGGGAAGATGATAAGTGTTTTTGTGTTGATACTCTAGGACTTTTTTTTTTTATGATTGCTGAGATTTATGTGTGTATGTTGTTTATGTTTAAATGTCTTTATTTTAATGTTTCCTTAGGTTTTTGTTTTTGTTACTGGGTCCAGCAGGCAAGGCACCACAGTACCATGAAATTGGAAGATCAATAGCCACTCTCATGACGGATGAGGTAATTAGATACCCTTTGAGGTGGACAATGATTATGAAGCATATACTATCTAAAGACCCTTTTGAAGTGGAATTTCAAATTCTTTTGGACATCAATAATGAAGCATATAATGTTTATTAAATTATAGTTCTCTTTTGTAGCAATGCTTAAAAATTGACCTTGCTGTATGTAATATTTTATCTCATATTCACTCATTTTGTTAATTGAATTTACTGGGGTGATAATGATTGATAAAATTATATAGGTTTCAGGTATCTCTCATATTCACTCTCTTCAATTATTTTGACTTTGTTATGGTCTTTGGGACTATTCTGTCAGGATCAGTGATTACTTCTTAGTGTTTTCTTTATTTTCTCCCCCACATTTGAAATTATTGATCACCTTCTAGAAATTATCTTCATCCTGGATTTTAGGATATAATTTCTTTTGAGTTTCCTCGGGGCTTTGTCTTTTTCTCTTTCTTCCTTTTTTCTCTCTAGTTTTTTTCTTCCATTTGTGAACTTCACCTTTGACCATGACCTGTATTGGTCAGGACTTCTCTATCTTTTGGAGAGGCTCCAGCCATCTCTGCCGTGTAGCCCTAAGGCAGTGGTTCTCAGTGGTCGCAACCAACAGGTTGAGAACTGCTGCTGTAGAGGCTAAGACTATCGGAAAACACAGATATTTACACTACGATTCATAACAGTAGCAAAATTACAGTTTTGAAGTAGCAATGAAAATAATTTTATGGTTGGGGGTCACCTCAATATGAGGAGCTGTATTAAAGGGTCATGGCATTAGAAAGGTTGAGAACCACTGCCCTAAGGTGTCTGAAACCCCAAATATCTGAACCTGACCTTCTTTGTCTGTCCTGTCTAAACAATTGGTCACCAGATTCTGTTGATTTTACCTTCTTAATATGTTTTGCATCTAATCTGCCACCTCCACTGCACTTCTCTGGTTTACACTCTACCTTCTTCTCTTTGGTGATTAAGGTGGACTTTCTGAATCTTAGGATAGTCTCCTCTGCATTACCGATTACATGCAGATTTCAATATGTCATTATCTTGATCCAGATATGTCAATGCCATCTTGTTATGTACTTAGATTTAAACCTAAAATCGTTGCCATTGTCTGAATAGGGTCTGTCTGATCTGGCCTCGGCATACTTCTTGAAACTCATATCCTCCCCCATTTTGCCCTGGCCACATTAGTTTCCCTTTTGTTCCTCAGATGTGTTATGTTCTTTTCTGCCTCTGGTCCTTTATAATGGTTATTCCCTTGGCCTGATTTCTCTTCTACCATCTCTCCTCTCTGCATGGGTTTGTCCCTCATTTCATTCACATTTCTCCTACAGTGTTACCTCCTGTAAGACTTTCCCTCACCTGTTTTATTTTTATCACAGCATCCATTTTTACCTGTAATTATGTATTTATGTTATACACCTCTTTCACTATTTTTCTTTCTAGGGCTCTTGTGTACAGGGACCTAGCCTTATCTGTGTCCATTGCACTTCTCCAAGTGTTTAGAATTGTGCCTGGCAAATAGTAGGCACCCAAATAAATATAAGCAATCAAATAAATTATGTATTTTAGTAAAGTTGTACATCCATGATTATTGGTTTAGGATAAGTGACATTTAATATCTTAGAAGTGGAAAGACATGCTGCAGTATTGTTTTATTCAGTAATGAATTGCTGAGTATTTGCCATGTAAAAATTTCTCTTTTTAAAATTTATCTTGCCTTAACACATCACTATTTTATTGTTACTGGTAATTCATCTAATAATGCTAATAATGGGTTATTTTTTATAGTTATTACCCAGGTTGGGATAAGAGGTTAGGTAATTATCTTTATTGTATACTTATTCATGTTATCTGAAGTGGATTTATTTTGCATAGAACTTTTCTTTCAACTTCAAAATTCTCTTACTCAGTGTTTTTCCTCCCTCCTTTAGATTTTTCATGATGTAGCTTATAAAGCAAAAGACAGAAATGACCTCTTATCTGGAATTGATGAATTTTTAGATCAAGTAACTGTCCTACCTCCAGGAGAGTGGGATCCTTCTATACGCATAGAGCCACCAAAAAGTGTTCCTTCTCAGGTAAGAGTCCACACAGTATTTGAGGTACATTTACAACATTAAAAAATATACTTTATACATTTAAGAGAAATTTTTTTTTATTAGCTTCAGAGAGGAAGGGAAAAGGAGAGAGAGATAGAAACATCAGTGATGAGAGAGAATCATCAGCTGCCTTCTGCAACCTAGGCAGGTGCTCTTGACCGGAATTGAACTTAGGATCCTTCAGTTCACAGGCTGACACTCTATCTACTGAGCCAAACCAACCAGGGCTACTTTCTACATTCAAAAAAGTCAAAACTATATACAACACTCAGAGAAGTTATATCCCAATATGTCCCCTTGATGTTTTAATCTCTGTACCACCTTCTGTGGGCCACCATTTGTTACTAGGTTTTTGTTTATCCTTCTAGTTTTTATTCAGTACAAAGAAATATGAACCTACAGTCTTATTTTATCCTCTTTCTACCAAAAATTAATGTACTGTGTTCTGTTTGGCAACTTCTTTTTATATAGCAACATATTTTGGTTATCTGATCATTAGAAATATTCCTGGTTCTTTTCTCACCCTTTTGCTGTATCCTGTTTAGTGGATATATCAGAGTTTATCCTATCCCTAGGCTTAGGATGTTTTCGGTCTTTTGCTACAAACCACAACATGGTAGTGATATGCCATATGAGTCTTGGGCAGATTGAGCTGTGGGATAAATTTTCAGAAATAGGATTGCTGACTCTCATGGAAGTTATAATTTTAATAGTTAATTAGCAGAATCTCTTATCAGTGAACTATTTGGAACCCCCACAGTGAGGTATAAAAGTACCTATGTCCCTGCAGCCTCACCAACACAGTATGTTGTCAAACTTTTGGATATTTGTTAGTCTGAGAGAAATCGTTATCTTCCTCTATTGGGTATTTTAATGTAATTTTACTTTGCCGTTTTATAATTAGTGAGGTTGGATATCTCTGAATATATTTTGTCCATTGCCTTCCACCACTTTTTTTCTTAACATTTGAATTGTTCAATGATTGATCCTTTAGAATTAATCATGGTATATTATGTGGAGTATGCACCCAACTTTATCTTTTTTTCTAAATTGCAGGCTGGTTGTCCCAATTTAATAAAAAGTTGATATGTATTTTTTTAAATTACTCCCATTTGATTGGTGATGTTGTCTTTTTCATTTACTAAATTTCCATTTGCATTCAGGTCTTGGTGTATCTATTCATGAATCAATTCCACACTTACATTTTTGAAGCTTTTTGGGATATATCAATATCAGGAAGATCTACATTCATTCCTGACTCCTCTTACTCTTGCTTTTCTGAATTTCTTTGGCTATATTTGGTTTATTTTTTAATGTAAGCTTTAAAATCAGTTTTCTACTTATAGAAAAAAACGATTTAAAAGAAATGATGATAGTGGTTAAACTTGTAAATGAACTAAGGGAAGTTGACATCTTTATAACACTGACTCTGTTCAAGAACATGGTTTAGCTTTCTTTAGTTGTTTTCCTATTTCAAGTCAGTTTTTGTGTCATTAAGGAATGTTTTAAAGTTCTTATATACACTTTTCAAGCTTCTTGCTGTGTGTATTCATTAATATTTTATTGTTATTGTTTATATTTGAAATGAAGTCTTATAAATGTTTATATTGCAAATGAAGTCTTATAAAACAAGTATAAAGCAAAAACATAATATAAAATACAAAAACATAAAGATTGCACAAAAATCTATGGACCTCTACTTAAAGAGATGCAAACAACTTAAATAAAGTACTAGACAAAGACTGCCAGCACATTAGAGTCCAGGTTGGGTTTATTTCAACAATGTAAAAGTTGGAATTCATATTAAAAAATTATTAATATGATTTACCATATTTGATAAAGTTCATATGATTGTCTCGAGATGCTAAAAATTCAACATCCATTTATATTAAAATTTTCCATGAAATAGAAATTAGAGTACTTTTTGAACATGATAAAAATGTTTATTTTTAGTCCCAATATCAGTAACTTATTGAAAGAAACACTGGAAACACTGACTACAGTTAGAAACTAATTAAGAAATGCCCTTATCAAGTCAACTACAACTAACACTATTAGAGATTTTAGTCAATACAATTAGACAGCAGAAAACCTACCAGAGGTATACAAATGGAGAGAATAAAATACTACAGATGATATGACTGAAAATCTACATATAATAAAAGAATTAAGAAAAATGGTAGCATATACAACAATATAAGAAATATACACTAATGTAGCCTTGATATACATAAAAGTAGCAAACAGACAATGTAATTTCTGCATTTTAGTTGTTTTATTCCTTTCAGGAAAGATTTTCTTTTCTTCTTCTTTTTGTTTTTTTTGTTTTGTTTTAACATTTCCTGAGCTAGATGCTTAATTCATTTTTCTTAATAAAATTATGTTTGTTTTTCAGATATTCTGTGACTTTTGTTTTTTTTCCTTAAGGTGTAATTTAGATTTTGATATTTTCAAATGGTAATTTTATGGTTATAGATAAATCTTTATACTCTATACATATAAACCAGGTAGTTTTAAATCATCTAGATAGAATCTTTGAACCAGGGCATCTCCTGGGATGACCTCACCTACCCCACCTTTTTCTCCCTCTCTCTCCCCGCTGCTCCTTCTACCGCCCTCCCTCTTCCTCCTCTTCCCTCTCCTCCTCCTTTTTCTCTATTTCTTTCTTGTTCTTTTAGGCCCAAATAACCAATTAAAAACTCACTCCTTTCTTTTCAAGTGAGTGGGACAAGATCCTTTATCATAAGAATAGTACTCTTGAATTTGTAATAAAATAAAATGAGATATTGATTTTTATGCTTTTAATAACCCTTGTGCTATTTATATCTTAAGGGAAGTATTTTAGTAAAAGAAAACTAGCATTTACACTTAATGTTAAGTACATTTTTAGTAATTAACATAAGCAGTATTTTAAATATTCTGGTTGGAGCAATGCTTTTATTAGCTATATTCCTGTTGCTGAATAGTAATTTGAAATGGTGTGTATGAATGTGTTTTATAGTGTAATTGATATAGAGTATAAAATAGAGCAAGCTGAGCTTGAACTTAGAAATATTAATGGACAAATATTGGCTTCTGTTTTAAGTAGAATTTATTTAAAGTAGAAGTTCATGTTAGGAAGCATCTTTTTTTCTAGGAGCACAATACACACACACACACACACACACACACACACACACACATCCAGTAAGAGATCTCATCTCCCTCTGAATTGAAGATGCCATCTCAGCCTTCTTTAAAAAAAAATTCTGAAAGTTTTTTGTTTTTTTTTTGTCTGTGAAATGCAGGAAAAGAGAAAGATTCCTGTATTTCCCAATGGATCTGCCCCCAGCTCGGGTGAGACTCATAAAGAGGCTGCTGATCATGCTGGGCCTGAGCTACAGAGGACTGGAAGGTGGGTACAAATACTGATATAATGTGGGTATCTTTTGAGACTAGGGTTTGAATTGATGAAAAAGACATAAAAAGTCTTTTTCTTTGCAAATAGTTGAATCTAAACTTATCTGGTATTTTTTTATACATATAAAAATGCCTTATTGTATAGGTATGTGATGTTGGGGGAAATTAATATATATATAAAGATAATTTTACTATTATACACTTGGGTTCTGCATACCAAGCTTTAATTTATAATGAAAATATGCACCATGTTAAAAATGTTGCACAGTTACATAGTAAGTTAACTTACATTCATTTACAAAAAGGTTTTTAAATAAAATGTTGAGTTCTATTATAATTCTCCTTATGAAATTAGAGAATTATAGGAACAGAAAGGAACCATAATCAATGTTTTTTTTGTGTGTGTGCATAGTTTTAAAACTTTTAAAAGGGCATTATATCAAACGGTAATGTAAAATTAGATAAGAATAATTAATCTATGTTATTGATCTCTGGAAACCTAGTTAGAAAAATTGTTGAAGTTGTTCATTTTTGGAATAAAGAATATATTGCCAGGTGTAAACATTGCTTTAAAATATTTTGTAGAAGTAGAGAAATGTTATTTTACTTTTTAATGTAGAAAAGCATGGGATATTGATACCTTTTGTCCACTGGTGGTCTCTGTAGAAGTGAATATTGAATCTTGAATATTTGTTTAAAAAGCTGGATATCTGATACAGATACACTATTAGGGACAGTAATGACATGCCTAAATAATACTACATATGAAAAAAAACCCCACACAAATGGTATACTAAATATAAACTTTAAAGAAGCTTAAACTCATAATGAATCCATTGACTAATGTATTAGTCTCTGTGAATATAATAGGGAATAAGATTGTCCCCATGCAAGAGGTTCTGGTCTGATACTAGCTATTGCTATTATTTCCTCAAACTTCAAATTGAGATAGGATTGATACATAATGTAATGCCTTAGTCAATAAAGGAAATAAAATTGAGATAGTATTAGTCACTGAGAAGTGCTAAGGTCCCCATTGATCTCATGGTCAGTGATCTGAAATCCTTATGTAAGCTGTTAAATAATTAATTATTGATTTGATGGTATTATTTTATTTTTAGATTATCATTGGCACCTTTGTTGCAAGTTAATTCCCCTTGCTGTCAGATTATCTATAGGGTAACTTCTTCCACTTGTCAATGTGCGTTTAGGATCCATTTCACTATTAACTTTAAAAAAATGTTAGAAGGGTAAAGCTTGAAACATCCAAAGCATTTGAAAGCATAAGATTAATTTCTTTGGAGTGTTTTCTACAGTAGGGATTTGAATGATTGTATATATTTTGAGTCACAAAATGTTTTTGAATTATCTATTTGTCACAAGTATTTATTGAGTTTTTACTATGTCCCAGGCAGTGTTCTAGATACGAGATGATGACACTGAATAAGAAAAAGTCTGTCCCTCACAGAGCTTAAATTTCAGTGGAATGCTTTCAATTAACTGTATCCAAAAGTTTGATTTAAAAAAAAAACAAACACCCCACACATGGAAATGACACACACAGATTTGATGTGCAAATATAGATTTTTATATTTATTAAAACTTTTTAGTACTATGTGCATTAGTTTGACTACAAATGCCATTGACTACAAAAGTAAATTGTATTCACTGAAGTACTTTTTAGGCATTTTTCCTGGGCCAGAAATATTTATACTATTAAAGGACTAATTAAAAAAGTAATTGAAATTATTTTATTTACAACTGAGTGGCTCTAAGTACAGCATACTCTATTTATATTAAAGGGTATTTTGGGGGCTTATAATTTACATTATAATTGCCTTCCTGGTATTTCTGATCTTGCCTTTAAGATTTATAGTGTGAATAATTATTAGAATTACTTTGCATATTTTCATGAATGGGTTGTTAGGTTTTATTTACTTTTATTGTACATTTACTTAACCATTTGTGTCTGAAATTACATTTACTCATATAAAATCATTTGCCTGCAGACTTTTCAGTATGTAGCCCATGAAATTCAGATGTTTATGTCTCTTAACCTAATGAGATCGACCTTTCCTTTGCCAGTGGGTTAGATTAAATGAGTATAACTTTTGTAATTTATACCATGATTTCAAATAGGCTATTAATTTTTGTTGACAAAACACTAGACACCAGCAATTTTTATGTAGCCCATAGTTTTAGTTTGCAATAGCTAGAATCCTCTAGTGTACAGTTTGACGAGTTTCATCTCACCTATTTAGGCTTTTTGGTGGTTTGATACTTGACATCAAAAGGAAAGCACCTTTTTTCTTGAGTGACTTCAAGGATGCATTAAGTCTGCAGTGCCTGGCCTCGATTCTTTTCCTATACTGTGCCTGTATGTCTCCTGTAATCACTTTTGGAGGGCTGCTTGGAGAAGCTACAGAAGGCAGAATAGTGAGTACAAAGATTGGTAGCGGCCAGGCTCTTAGCTCTTCAGAGGCAAGTGTCTGTGTGCATTTGTCTCACCGTTCCTACTTTTGTCCAAAGAGTCTACCCACAGCACGATTAACCTGTCCCAAAGCAGACTTCCCCCCAAAGGTAATTGCTGTGGAAAACATGGGGAGGCCATGTGAACAGGAGAAGATGCACAGTTGAGGTAAAAAATAAAAATAAAATTTAAAGAAGAAGAAGAAGAAAAGTTTATCCTGGCTTGCTGGTGGATGAATTGTTTTATAAACTTGAGTAAAAGGCTTGTGTTGTCTGTCTGGGGGAGAAGGGTCTGGTGGGGGGAGTCCGCTTGAACTGAGTCCGGGTGGGCTGTGGGTGGAGGATTTTACCACTGCTGCTACATCACATCCTGTAAGGTCATCATAGGGTTAGGTACAGCCCTGTGAGCGATATTAACTCATCAGCCGAGTAGGCCCGGGCCAGACTGCTTGGAAGAAAAGAACATAACTGTGGACAAATGATGCATTTTTGATGTGGTACTTGCTTTAAGTTTGCCATTAACTAAATTTGTGTGAAAGTAGGTAAAACTTGTCATTGGAAAGTATACCTGAAACCTGCATCTGTAATTTGACATGACTGTTTTTATGGTCGTTTTTTTGTTTTGTTTTGATCTTGGTAAATATTGTATTAGGGGCTATGGGAGGCATAACTGAATAGCGCTTTGTAAAATCTTGAAGACAAGTTTTTGTTTATATATATTTTAATGGCTTTTAAATGAGATGCTTTGTAATTCTTAAGTGTATTTTATTTTATTATATTTTCTCTTGGGGAGAAAATTAATTAATTTATTTATTTATTACAAATGAAAGGTTAAGAAATAGCCAAAGCTAAGTAGTGATATTATTTAATTAAAATATTTCATGAACTAAACAGGAGATAAACCTGACAGTTGAAATTTCCTTCCAGCTCAGTTTATTTTCAATTACTTAAGACAATATTCCCTTACTCTGTAATCACTGCCTTAAAAGTATATAATTTTTTGTAAGTTGCTTCATGTGCTGACACGAGTTGCACATGTAACTCTGCTGTTCCCCATGGAATTGAATCTTATCTGTTCCCATCATGGAAATGCTGCTTTGCCTCTGGACTGTGACTGTCATTCTCTGCCTGCCCATCTCATCCTGCCTTCTAATGCTATGGGTGTGATAGTGCTTTAGGCACCGGAGGAATATAGATGAGTGTAACACCAACATGTGTCTTCTGTCCTCCAGGACACTCACCTAAGGGGAAAAAGACTAGGTAGTATCATGTATTATAGTTACCTTGTCCTGGATCTTGGGGCACGCAGGAGTCAGATAGAGGAAGAGCCGTGGGAGTTGAAGTAATGGGAATGGAGAGCTCAGAGTGAGTTATGGAGGAAAGTGGTTTGAAAATGTGTTTTCAGATGCTTTATGGAAACTTCAAGTTTAAAAGGAGATGTCAGGAGGAGGAGTTCCAGAGTTGGTAGTGGTCAAGGAGGAATGAGTACGTCTGGAGTGGTTCAGACAAGTGGGGCTTGAAACTGAGAATAGCTGGAAGTAATTTACAGGAAGAGCAGCTGAGGGATGGAGGAGGGATGAGAACAGGAGGGAAATGGCCCCACATATCAGATACAGGGGCAGTCAGAGCTCAGGATGAAGTAATTTTGCAAAAACCAAAACAGATTTTTGAGGAGGACAGACTAGCAGGGAGTGTTTCCTGGCATGCAGTGGGGAGGTCTGTAGGCAAGAGAAGGGGAGGGCTATGGGTGGGTAAAATGGAAACTTCTGAATGTGGGATGGGGATGGCAGGTAGCAGGGCTGTGACTGCTTTAGGGCAAGACCTGGTTCAGTTTGGGCATGAGCATAAAAACAGTTTTAAGAATAGATCTGGGAAAAGGACCTAGTAAATGGGGCATTAAGGGGTTGGGAGTAGTAAAAGGAAGATCTTTATGTGGCCACTCCTCTTTTTCAATATCACGTTGGGAGGGACACTGTAATCTTGTGCGTCTCTGTCCCTTTTAGTATTGCTTTATTTGCCATCTCTTTGCTTTTCTTCTCAGTTTTTTTTTTTTTTTTTTACTTCTAGATGTCATTTAGTACGTAAATATGCTATAAAAATCCTTAGTTAAAATACGTAAATATGCTATTTACGTACTAAATGATATTTTAACTAAGGATTTTTATAATGGCTTAGCGGCATCTTCTAGGACAAACTCCATCTAGGGCAAGAAAAGTTCATTTTATACAATTAACAACTAGATGCCTAATATGAACACTTTTAAATTTTGCCAAAAGTCAAGTTTGTTTTTCTACTAAGAGTTAAGTAATACTTGTACCGCATATTATTATTTTATGATTTTAATTTTGGAAAGTGCTGTTTATTGCTGGCAATGAGAATTGCTACCATTTGTTGAGTACATTCTGTAAGGCTAAATGCTAGACCTGTTAAGTGTTTCCCAAAGTTCTCCTGGCTAAAATCGTCCCCATTCAAAAATGAGAGAAGTTGGGCTCAGCAAGTTTTAGGTGTGCCCATGGCTTAACACCTAGTAGGAACCAGTCTTAACGCTTCAAGTCTGGTTCTCAAGCCCTGCTCTTGGCCTGATGTCATGCTGTCTCCAGTCCCTGGGGGGTTGTTTCTCATAAGCTGCTTCTCCTTGTCTTACTGATGATGGGCTTTTCCTTTCTTGATAGTGCACTCCAGTCCATCTTGATCTTTGTGAATGGTGAACTATCCTTTTCCTTCTGATCCCTTCCCTTTGTCTAGTGGCCTACCCGAACCCCCTTACTACTTAATAACGTAAAGGTAGAATGTAATGTTGGTGGTGGCCTAAAATTGGCTCCTAGTTTTGATTTAAAATTTCTCTTGAGTCTTTTCATTTTATTTTCTGTTACCAAACTTTAATAATAATAAAATACTTTCTCATTTATGATTGCTATCAGTTTTATAAAGATGTTTTCCCATCTATTTTATTTATGTTAAGCATTTCATTTTTGATATCTGTTGTTTAAGTCTATCATATTAGATTACTTTTTTTAAATGTGTGAAAATTAATCTTTAGAAATCAATGGGAGAACAATAATATCACATGTTAATTTCTTATCTGTTCGAAGGAGTCTTTTTTCTAACAGGATATTAAGTATATAAATATGTTTTCTTTTTTTAAATGAACTATTTCAGATATACAAAAATATTCAAAATATATATATTATGTACTCATCACAGGCTTAAGAATAAAACATCTGTAGATAGAATTGAGCATTCCGTCTTCCATTTATTCCTCCCTCCTTGACTCTTACAGTTTTGAATTAAGGTTGATCACAAATGTTCACTTTTAATATGCAAAAACAAAGCAATTTTTCCCTTGTATTTAAAGTGTATTTTTCATTTTCTGTTTTAAAATACAAATTTGAAATTTCAAGTTGTATTTGCTTTATATTTTTATTTGATTCATATTTTTTAATTCTATAGATGTCTTATATGTATTACTGTATGTTAGAGATATATTTATGATGTGTTGCTTTTATTCGTTTTTTTTTTCCTTAAACAGAGTGCAATAGAGTCTCTTTTTGGAGCATCATTAACTGGGATTGCCTATTCGTTGTTTGCTGGGCAACCTCTAACAATATTGGGGAGTACAGGTCCAGTTTTAGTGTTTGAAAAAATTTTATTTAAATTCTGCAGGTACGTAATAGTTATCTATTTGTCACATGTGTTTGAGTATGTGTATAATTGCATATTATTTATATTTTTTAACTTTAAGTAAAAGTACATTATATATTTATTATAATATAGCTGAAAAATAAGATCTAATCAATATGTATATTTTAAATATTTTCTTGTTACTGTGTGGTTAACTCTGCTCTGGCCTCGATCATCATCTCTACCCCAATCACCTTGAGTAGAAAAATCAATGGATTTGAATACTGATAAACAAATCACTTAACGGGCAGCAAAAATTCTTTGTGTTAGAAAATTTCAACTCAGTAAGAATGTGTTAGTCTTGAATTGTTTATTAGGTGGTATATTGGACTTTTAGGAAGAAATTTAGGGAGGTGGATCTTGAGGGTTCAAGCTGACTTTATCCTTGGGCTGTTCCACAGAGGGAATTGGCACAGTTGAGGGAGATGCCCATTTCCACTGGCAGGGCTGGCAGTGTGGGAACCAGTGCAGGTTACTATGTCTGGTAATCTTGGAATTCGATATTGCCAGTCCTCTTCCTTTTGTGAGATAAATGCAACTGAATATTTAGCTTGGAGCAACCTGATGCTACTAAATATTTGATCCTCTAGCTTCTCTTATTCTGTTTCTTTATTCACTGAACAAACTGATTCTGATCCTGATCTGGCACATGATATAGACTAATAGAGGATGCAATTACCTAGAGTAGTTTCTCAATTAAATTGAATTAAAAATTGAAGTTACTTTCTCTGGAGATGCTGGTGGTAGAGGAGATAGTGGTGATGATGGTGGTGATGGCGGGGCAGCAATGTGACTGCCACGTTGACACTAGAGCATTGGGTCGTCTGAGAGAGTCACTTTCCGTTGTTCTACAGATAGCTTGTCTGTCGTTGATTCCTCATAACTGACTTCTGAAGTGAGGTCTTTGTTTTTTGAAATGTTTATTGCCTAGCAGATTTTCACTGTAAATTTTTTATGTAAGTAAAATATGACCATTAAGTATGTTTTTAAAAATATATATATATATATTTTATTGATTTTTTGCAGAAAGAGAGAGGGATAGAGAGTTAGAAACATTGATGAGAGAGAATCATCGATTGGCTGCCTCTTGCACACCCCCTACTGGGGATGTGTCCACAACCAAAGTACATGCCCTTGACCGGAATCGAACCCGGGACCTTTCAGTCCGCAGGCTGACGCTCTATCCACTGAGCCAGACCGGTTTCGGCTGACCATTAAGTATGTTAATAAGAAGCTAGTCTTCCATTGAAGCAGAAAAAAACACACAACTTCCTTTAGTCATTATTTTGTTCTATGATTTATGACTCTTATGTTTTACTGTTCTTATTGCTTATGATGACAATTTTAAGTATACATTTTGTTCCATTAGTTTGTGTTGATTGTGTTCACATTTTTCTTTTTAAACAGAGATTACCAGCTTTCCTATTTGTCTTTAAGAACCAGTATTGGTCTATGGACTTCTTTCTTGTGCATTGTTTTGGTTGCCACAGATGCAAGCAGCCTTGTGTGTTATATTACTCGGTTTACAGAGGAGGCTTTTGCAGCTCTCATTTGCATCATATTCATCTACGAGGCTTTGGAGAAGCTCTTTCATTTAGGAGAAATATATGAATTTAATATGCACAACAATTTAGATGAACTGACCAGTTACTCGTAAGTGTCTCTGATTCCCTCTAATATTAAAATGTGTTTTTTTTGCAGAGATGTCTGAGTCTAAGAATGGACTTTTATGCGATGTGATGCTCACTGTATAGAGCTGATTTTTAAAGAGATTAGTACCCTTTTCCAAAGAAATATGTCTAACTAGTTTCATTAAGTAACATCTCACTGTTATTTGTACTAGTTATGCTTTATTTATGTAAGCTGAACCTCATTCCATTCCATTGTTTCTGATATGTTTTCATTTTCCTCTTATTCATGCTTTGCAACATGGAAAAGTTAGGAAGTCAAAAGCTTTACTTTGTGGGATCAATTTAATAAAATGTAAACATGAAATACAGGATGCTAAAAATTTTACTCTATTCTAATTTCTCAGATGTGTATGTATTGAACCTCCTAACCCTAGCAACGAAACTCTGAAGGTGTGGACGGAAAATAATATAACAGCACATGATATTTCCTGGGGGAATCTCACTGTTTCTGTGAGTATATTATAAACTAAAGGATTTTGCAACTATTAATCTAGTTCTTTAGCTTTTTCTGAGTAGACATACATTTTCTTCTAGATTGATGTATATAGTGTTTTCAAAACATAGTGTTAGGTTGACCAAGGAGGAGTTACCACATTTTTATGTATCATGCCCTGGAAAAGTATAGGCTGAAACAAATGAAGTTGGTATAGGAAAAAAAAAAGACAGAATATATTTGACTTCCAAGTTATAATTATTAAAAATATGTTAATATACTTTTTTTTCCTAATTCCACTTAGATTCATAAATTCAAAGGAAGTATACACTAGGTCTGTGGTTACACATAGAGTTGACTGTTATAACAGCTCATATTCACTTGTCCTGCCTTCTGTTTTTTTGGTTCATCTGCTTTATGAACAACTTAGTTAGAAGACCACAAATATTCTGCTAATGTCCCGAATGTCAAACCATAACATCTCTGAACTCAAAATGTGTCTTAACAATTGATGGTGTGTTAAAGTTGAATCGGAAGTGGTTTTTTTCCTTTCTGAATGATACATAAAATTGATGGTGTGTCTTACAATCAGTAGCATCTTAGATTCTGTGAAATTCATTAATACTTTATTGGATATCTGAGAATCCCCTTCAATCCCTCCTTTTTCTATTTTTTCCCAGGAATGTAAAACCTTTCACGGTGTATTTGTAGGATCAGCTTGTGGTCATCATGGGCCTTATATTCCAGATGTGCTCTTTTGGTGTGTTATCTTGTTTTTCACAACATTTTTTTTGTCCTCATTCCTCAAGCAATTCAAGACCAAGCGCTACTTTCCTACTAAGGTAATGGGGTATAATTTTGGAGTTCTGGTAATATAATGTTTGGGGGTTAATACTTTTTATCAAATAGCTTAAAATATTCATAGTAAAAATGTATATTATGTGTCTGAGCTAGCAGTAGAAAAACAATGGTACTTTGAGAGATGATAGGTTAGTTGTAAAATGTGTTTCTTATATTTGGAAAAAAATAATAGATATAAATGTATTTCATTGACACATTGCCACTAATTAAAACCTTCTTCACACTTTCTAGTGGCATATTTTAACCTGAATGATATGAATTATTTATAAAGGATACATACTATATCTGCATTTATATTAACGTAATTTTTTTAACATAGGTGCGATCGACAATCAGTGACTTTGCTATATTTCTCACAATAGTAATAATGGTCCTAATTGACTACCTTGTAGGAGTTCCTTCTCCTAAACTTCACGTTCCTGAAAAATTCGAGGTAAGGATTAAAACACTTGGCTATTTGTTACTTAGGCATACCAAACTTCTTAAAACTGTGCAGGCAGTTATTTTTAAACTGTGCATAATCTCTCCAAAGAGCTGATCCTTGAAAGGAAACATTTATTTCCCACGTATATAAAAAGAATGACAAGATGAAAAGCTGCAAGTGGACCCGTTTAGGAAATAAGTAGGTATCAAAGCTAGTCCATTCTGGAGAATGAATGAAAATATCCATGGTGAAGAGTAGAGAGACATTAAAAAAATTTGACCTTGTTCTCATAGCTGGAGTTCATGATGTTCTTTCCAGGCAAAATAAACATTCTTTATTCCTTTTAAAGAACTAAATCAAACTTGAATTTTTGAGTAGCAAGGACATTCTTGTTCAATTTTTAGAAGGATAGTGTATCTAACAGGAGAGAATCAAATATTCTCCCATAAGAAAAAGGACACTCATTGTGAACATCCATAGACCCTTGATTTTCATTAGCAAACACTAGTTCTTTTGTGTACAATATACTGTATGCATAATATAGCACCTAAAAATATTTTCCCGTCTTAAGTTAGAGGTGGCAGCTTTTGAATAATTTCTGAAATTTATTCTTAGAGTCAAGTATTTGTGTTACTGTTTATATTTACATTTTGCTGATTAGCTGACTTCTTTCAGAAGCAGAAGGTTTAAAGGTGACTAGGATAAGGAATATAATGATAATTTTAGTCTGTTTTATCTTTCATTGGAATAAAAAGAAATAATATTATTTTTATAACCAACGATCTCCAAAGTAGAAGGCATGGGTAGAAAATGACCCACCAAGATTATTTAGAAATTTAATTTACATTTTTATCTAAAAATAAGAAAGATTAAGCCTTATACTGTTCACTACATGAATTTTACTCTATGGATAATGAAACATTAGTAACATAACAGGTAAATGAATATAGAACCATTGGGTACATGTGCTCACTTTTATTTATAAAAACTTTTGATATGTTTGATATGTCTTGTATAATTTAGAAGTTTGGAGACCTTTATTTAAAAACATACATGTTTGAGCCACTAAAGATTTTAGGCCAGGAACAGATGGCTATATGAAAATCATTCTATTTTTACCAAATTGTACAAATAAATGAAACTCTAAATTAATATTGGTTCAAAATATTGATGTGTTTTCCTGCAGTCATAGCCCCATTTCCTGATTCAGATTCCTAAATATATACTTGTTATTCATTTATTGACCTAGCTTTCAAATAGTAGACTGATTTTCAGAGGCATAAAATATACTTGGGGAAACAATTTAAGGAACTCTTAAGAATGTAAACATTATATAGATAAAATATTTTACACATGTGCATTATTGTATATGAAGCAGTTTAAAAATAGCAGTGTAGGAACATTTGGATACTTGAATTAGAAAATATTAAATTTCCTTTTGTGTTGACAAATGTTTTCAAAAAGAAAAAATCAGGCTTAATAAGAAGTCTAGGTAACAACAATGTATAGATTTTAATATCGTTCAAAAATATTAAACTCTCTTACCATCTTTTAAAATTTTTTGCTATAAAACAAATTTTCCATTATAGCCTTGAAATTATTAGCATCTGATAAAGTAAAGTGCCAGATTTTTGTCAGTAGATACTTTGAAAAATAGTGTCCATGAGGCCCAATTCTTAGTACTGACTATGCCAAGATCACTAGTCTGCAGGATTTCCAAAGCAGTTTAGTTTAGGAGTTGATCTAGTAGGTAGGTTGATTATACATTTTGAGATAGGTAGGAGCATGTCAAAATGACACCGCTTCACTTATCTGTTCCTGCATCGCAAACTTCCTAAAACATAATACCTTTAAGCAGTCGCCTTTTATTTGTTCATAAATCTGGGACTAGGTTAGCTGGGTAGTGGTCTGGTCTCTTACTAGTGATATTTCATATGGCTACAGAAATCAGGTGCCTTGATGAGGGACAGAGTGACCTCCACATGCCTGGAACCAGGTGGCTGAAACAGCTAGGGTGGGTGCCTCCTGTCCCTCTCTCACTACATTGTGTCACATCCTGAAGAAAGCTTATCCAGGTGCACCCAGCAGCTTAATCTCAGGGATCCGAGAGGGTTAGAAAAGAAGCTGCAAAGGTCCTTTCAGATCAAGACCCAAGACACGACACTCTGTCACATTGGCCTTATTCTGTTGGTTAAAATAAACCTTAAGTTCAGCCCAGATTCAAGGGGGTGGGGGAAGGAAATAGACTCCACATATGCATGGAAAGAGTTGGATGTGGGAACCGAGTCTAGGAGGGAAAAGTCCTTGTAGCCATCTTTGCAAATAATTCACTGTACATACCAAGATTTAATCTAGTTCTTTCTGATCCCTTGGGCATTTCTTGGAATAGACAGTTTATGTTGTGGGAATTTTGTGCAGTAGAAGAAGGAAACTTTTTTTCTTTTTAAATTTATTTACTTATTTTTAACAGCCTACTGATCCAAATAGGGGCTGGATTATAGACCCATTGGGAGAAAATCCTTGGTGGACCTTATTAATAGCCGCTGTTCCGGCTCTGCTTTGCACCATTCTCATCTTTATGGATCAACAAATTACAGCTGTAATCATAAACAGAAAGGAGCACAAATTGAAGGTACCGTTAAATTTTATCTCAAAGTATTGTAATTTCTTGAAGACTTTGGAGTGTTTTTGTAAGGACTAGACCTTGAAAAGATGTAAAGGGAAAATGAATTCATTCTCTCTTTATGAGTAGTATAGAATTTTAACCTGAAAGAAAAATGTAGACTTATAAATGTTCATGTCCATTCCACTTTCCAGAAAGGAGCTGGCTATCACCTTGACTTGTTCGTGGTTGGAGTTATGTTGGGAGTGTGTTCTGTCATGGGACTTCCATGGTTTGTGGCTGCAACAGTGTTGTCGATAAGTCATGTCAACAGCTTAAAACTTGAATCTGAATGTTCTGCTCCAGGGGAACAACCCAAGTTTTTGGGAATTCGCGAACAGCGGGTCACAGGACTGGTGATTTTTATTCTAATGGGCTTGTCCGTGTTTATGACATCAGTACTAAAGGTAACATCTCTTTATGGCAAATGTTTTAAGATATTCTTTATCGTAAAATTTATGCCTGGTAGTATGAAAATGAAACATTAAGGTATCTAAAATTAATTTTATTTCCTAGACTTTACCTGGAAAGTAATACTTTTGGCATGGCATTTCGAATAGTAGGCATTTCAGTATTCATTTTAAAAAATAATTTTAAAAGGATAGAATTAAAATTAAAGGCTACAGAGTTTTGGAAGGAATTAATTCATGACTTATGATTTAAAAGAAGAGTACAGTCAGAGGATGTTAAAAGCATAAATAGAAAAAGAAATATTGAAAAATGGATGAAACTGAGTTATTTGATCAAAATATAAAAATAATATTGCTATTAATTAAATTAATACATTTTCCTAATAAAATAAATGAAAGAAAAGTAGTAGTAGCAAGCACTTAATAGAAAAATATGAACAGCTAATAATAATATAAATGAATTATGTAAGAATTTTTATCGATACTTTGTCTAACATCTTTAGTCACATCTGCTTGTTGCCTATTGAATCTCGTTGATTTAAAAAGATAACGATAACCATAGCAAACACAGCTAAATATCTAATCTGAAATTTTCTATCTATCCTGGAAGAGCTCAGCTTCATTTTTCCCTTGGTCGCTATAGTCATTTTCGTTGTAAATAAAATTACTAAGTAAAAAGTTGCATACCATTTATAAACTAGGATACAAGCATAGAGTACATAAATGTGTGTGTATGCTATATAATAACGAAAAAAATTGATAGTTAAATACTAGAATTCTTTGGCCTCTTTTCATGCACTTTCTAATAGCCTATTAATTCGCCAAATATAATAATAAAGAGGATGCATTGTTGTCTCCTTTTAAGAACTTGCCAGTCTAGTTGGTGAAATAGATAGGTAAATGGGCCATTACTGCGCAGTGGTGAATTATTGTCAGAAGTGCTTGGGACAGAAGGAGAAACATGTGGTCTTAATGAGGATGCCATTCTCTATTGATGAAGTTGCCCTTTAATTTCTTAAAGTTAAAAAATTTTAAAGTATTAATTGCATATAGGCAGAGCAAGTCAAGTAGAATATCAAGAAAGCTCTAAAATGAAAAGCTAGTCCTGCTATTTTTCCTCTCTTTCTGAAAGGAAATATCCAGAGGTAAACTCATTTTATTTTTTTGTCTTTTGAGTTATTTTGGCAGTTACCACCATTATAATTTTTAATACTTTCATAATCTTGTTTTTCACTTTATTATCTTTAGACTGGATGTCTTTATCAAAGACCGTGATTTCCAAAGTCTAGCTCAAGGGTCTCTGGGAGTTCCTGACACCTTGTCAAGAATTGCCAGATCCTTTTCTTTCCAATCATGTAACTGTATGAGGCTGAATTTTCTTCATCTCCTTCAGCCAGAGTGACATATTGCAGCAGGTTGAATGTACATACAGCTATGAGAATTTATTGGTCTCTCTTAAGCCACCCACTGCAGAGATTTTACAGAAATACAAAACAATGCTCCTCTTCTTAGTTTTTTTTTAAATTACATTTTTTCCCATAAAAAATGTCCATTATATTAATTTGTAATGGGTTTGTTATTTTAAAATGAATTTAAAATAATTTTAAAAATTGCTTTTAATTCCCAATATGATGATTATCTATTTCCCCACATAGCTATATGTGTACACTGTAGGCATCAATATCTTTAATTTTTAGGGCTCTTTTTCATTCTGTTTTGTTTTTGTTTTTGTTTTTGTTTTTTCTCTTTTCTTAGCATTTTAATCTTGCTTTATGGATAAAATATTTTCCTGAAATTTCTGGAGTATATTGATTAGATTTTCTCCAGGTTTCTTAGGAAAGACATACTAGGTTGTTAGTAGCTCGTAGGTCTTTTTCCTCACCAGCTCTCTCTCCCTTGGATGAGAGTGATGACTGTGGTTTTGAGGAAATGAAAGGGGTCTGTTGGTAGTGTCCTGTATCATGCCTAGGCATGGATTAGGTAGGCGTGATTTGGGATCCTCCTAACTGCCAAAGAAATAATTTTCTCTTGGGGGGATGGGATTCAATTATTATATTCAGTAAATGATATTGAGTGGTAGTCACTGTAGGGGTAGTGACGGTAAATAACAATGATTAATGCTGTTTGAGTGATAGTTATTTATATCACTTGCTTTTTTAATCATTTTATGTATTTGAAACCCTTTAATTTTCATGGCATTCTGATACAGGAAAGCACAGAGTAGTTAAGGCTCAATGAGAAAGAGGCTAACTGAGTCTTTCAGTCAAGTAGTTGGATTGTAATGTTCAATCTCTTAATCACTGAACATGCTCCCTCCCCTTTTAGGAAGGAACATGGAGAAGATAAACAAGTTTCAAGGAGGTTATTGCCTACTAGCATTTCTCTTATTTATAGAAAATTTAGATCTCATTACTGAAAGGTCATGTAATTAAATTCTGTCTCAGTAGGTATTCGACAACTATGCCCTTGTGTACTTATTGCTGAGAAATTGTTTTAGTAGCATAGGTTCTGATGATGGTCCTTTCACTTACAGTTTATTCCAATGCCTGTGCTCTATGGTGTTTTCCTTTACATGGGAGTTTCCTCATTAAAAGGAATTCAGGTAAGTCTTAAATATTTGATGATTTTGTAGAAAAACTTAACAAATCCTTCATTTGCAAAGATTATTTTTATGATGATAGTGATTTATTCTCAACTCTAATATTCTGAGGACAGGTTAACTGGTGATTTCAAATATACATTTTCTTGTGACTATTGGCTTACTGCACATTTCTCCCCCCAAGAATGAGGTTATGAACTGATATGGTCCTAACTATTTTTAATTGAAATCTTTGAAAGGCCTCTATGGTTGAAGACTAGTATATTATGAGGGGAAATAAAAAGGATGGGATGGGGAAAAGGATGGGATGGGAAAAAGGATGGGATGGGTTTCTGATATGCTGAACAATAATTTCTATGTTTACAAAGAAAAGGTAGATATTAGTTTTCCATTGAAAATGGTAATACCTGCCATTGGTATGTGTGCAATACAGTTTAAAAAGCTAGTACAGGAATTATTTTCTGTGATCCTTGAAACATCATTGGGAATCAGGGAAGGAAAAAGTACTAATTTTGTAAATCAGGAAACAAATTGAGGGACTCAATGAGGGTTCTTAACTAAGCAGTGGAGCCAACCAAGGCTGGAACCCAGTGATTTAGCTATTGTTTTGTCTTATTTATAGTACTTCCTGGAGAATAACCCAGTGAAATTTACTAAGATTTATATCAATCCAACCTAATGTAAAATATTTAGCACATAAAGCAAGGTTAGTACCACATGACCACCTCCTGTAATGAAAAGCATATTGTCTAAAGTTGCTGGCAAGACTTCTCAAGGGCAGCATCTTGATTTTTTTTTAAACACTGCCCAGTATCTACTCTCCACTGACCAAGAAATGATCTCACTAACTCATTTTTTTTTTTTTTTTACAATAATTATGTGAGATAGGTAGAGGGCTGATCTTATTCCAAGTTTTTAAATGAGGAAATGAAAGCTCAAAAAGACCAAGGAATTTGCTTACAGTTTCCTTTTCAGTGAGTGAAAATTGGTAATTGTTACCTGAGGTTATTTTTATAGAATCGGTAACCTTAGAAACTTATAAGATTGTTACTGTTTTGTTGTACATATTAGGAAGAAGTTGAAAGATTAAGTGACTCCTGCATTTGATTATAGCACACAAATTTATATAAATATTTCAGTTCCCTAAAGTAAAGCATTTTGGCTTGAGTTTTCAGATTAAATTAATTGCATTGCCCTGATTCCTCCCTCCCTCCTCTCCCCCCCCTGTGTTCAGTTGCTGTATCCTGAAACATTCTCCTGTACTATCTGAACAAGAAAGTTAGTTTCAATCACAAAACTTTGAAGTTGAATGTATTTTTTTTTTTTTAAGGTAGCAGAAATGATATTTTTGTTGAAAATGTTTTCTTGTTTTGTTTTCCATTCCACACATAGTTTTTCGACCGTATAAAATTATTTGGCATGCCTGCTAAGCATCAGCCTGACCTGATATACCTCCGCTATGTGCCTCTCTGGAAGGTCCACATTTTCACAGTCATTCAGCTTACCTGTCTGGTTCTTTTGTGGGTGATCAAAGCTTCGGCTGCTGCAGTAGTTTTTCCCATGATGGTAAGTTTTTTCGCACTTTGTTACTAATTAATACCTTCTTTATGTTTTATAGTGATTATTAATATTTATAATTGACCTTAAGAAACAAAGTAAACCCATCTTAAGTATCTTTGGTGATTTGAAATAGGAATGAGCCCTTTCTACTATTAAACTAATAATTTTCAAGATCCTATTTTTTTTACTTTTCTATACTTTTGTCTTGTTTGTTTTTTAATCTTTGAGCTGTAGATACCATTTTGTATTTTTAAACAACTTTTAAACAATGTTAGGATATTTTTTGGAATAAATATGATAGCCAGGTGTAATATTATAAGCAAAGTAACCAGAACACCTTGATGAATTCAGGACTTATTGTAGTAAAAATTTTTGAAGAATATTTGTTATAATTCAGTCTTCGAGAGTAGCTTTTCAAAGATAGGGAAGCCAAATCGTAAAAGAAAGAGATATATTCGACCACATGGTAATTAAATGTTTTATATGTCCATGGTAAAATCAGATTGTGAATTTGGAAAAAACATTTGTAACAAATAAGGCAGATAACGTGTTTTTGTCTAACTACACAGAACTCTTATGAATTCATGACCAAGTCATAAAAACCAGTTGCAAATAGGCAAAGGATAGGAAATAATAAAAACAGAAAAGGGAATCCAAACAGTGAACATTTGAAAACATCATTAACCTTATTAACAGTTAAAGAAAAGTGGACTGAGTAAAAACATGTCTTTTTTTACAAATATAATTGGAAGTTATATTTTACAAATATAATTGGAACCTAATGCTAAAAATGGGTTCTCTCATGCATTGCTCAAAGATTTTTTTTTATTATCTCTACTTATATAATGTATGTAGTACAAAGTCATCATAAAAGTTAATCTTTTTTAAACTGTGAAGATGCTATGCTTAAACTGCTTTAGTGTAAGGGATTTATATAAAAAAAGGTTAAAAATGCCTTTACATCTTTTCTTTGAGCAGAAAGACAAAGAGGACTCAGTTCCTTTGAAGCAAAAGGGTGCATGAAATCATATTAAAATAAAATTTATAAAGTACTTTTTCTTGTGTTTAATAAATTAAATATAATAAAGTAATGTATAATAAATTAATATAATTTATATATTTTTAAATTAATGTTCTCTCCCCCATTTTTTAATAGGTTCTTGCATTAGTCTTTGTACGTAAGCTCATGGATCTTTGTTTCACGAAGAGAGAACTTAGTTGGCTTGATGATCTCATGCCAGAAAGTAAGAAAAAGAAGGAAGATGACAAAAAGAAAAAAGAAAAAGAGGTAAAAACACAAAAATTTTAAATTTACCAAGTAGCAGCCACTATTACAGTCACTTTATGGGAATGAACTCCTTTAACCTGTTAACCAGAGAGTTCCCTTTTTAATTATGCAACGTACAACGGGCTCATACTCTTCCACTAGGACGTGTCAGTACGTCACACCCAGTGGACGTAATTTTATATTACTATTATTTTTATTTATACTTAATTAAAATAAATGAAATATATATATTTTTGTTTATTTATATATAAAGCACAAAGGAAAATACAAAATTACAAATAGAAAAGAATACCAACAAAAAAAGGAAACATCGAATTAAAATATTATAAATTTTACAAACAATTATAAAGATTACAAAAAAATATATTTTTTATTTCTATACACAATAAAAAATATAAAAAAGTTAACAATTACAGAACAATAAACTAAAGCACACAAATAAAATAGAAATATTGAGTTTAAAAAATTGAAATATAGATGTAAAAATTTAAAACTCAACTTCCGTGTGATATATTTTAAAACAATTGTTGATACATAGTGCTACCTTACAACCCGGACACCAGTAGGTAGATTCTTTCCTAACACCTTTTTTGTAGCAAACTTGGCATTTCCTGGATTTAGTTTTTCCTATATCGCTTTCCATTTGTTCTGGAAAATGCCTCTCAAGTAAGCGTGATGGTTTAGATGTAGAGCTGCTTGTTGATGTCTTTGGGGGGTTTTCACTATGTTGTTATCTACCAATTTCTCTACACTATCAAAAAGTGTAATCGATCCAAATGACCTTTATCTTTTTTTTGTATATAATATATGCATTGAAGCAGCGCATATCAATCGTAGAAAAAATTTTTTATAAAATTTTTTTACCCTATTACGGACAGCCGTGTAGGCCACCATAACTCCATCTCCCAAATCTACGCCGCCCATATTCTTGTTATAATCCAGGACAACATTCGGTTTTTCTTGCCTTCTTCCTCTCTTTTCAATCATTGTCTTTTCGTCATTATGAATAGAACTGAGCATCAATATGTCTTTTTTATCCTTCCATTTTAAAACCATAAGTTTGTCTTTGATTCTTACATATGTTCATTTTTCTGTAATTTTTTGTTTTTATTTCACTGGGAAATTCCGACTCTGTTTATCCTCATTGTTCCAATAATGTTTGTATTGTTTTGACACAAGAGTTCAGCCAAATGAATTGACGTATAGAAATTACCTAAGTAAATCCTATACCCTTTATTCAGTAAGTCATGTGTTAACTCCAAAACAATTCTTGTTGATTGTTTTTCTTACGGGTAGTTCGAACTATAATTTGTGTCCTTGCCTGTGTATAAAATTATATTTTGTACGTATTCAGATTGGCTTTCACTCAAAATAAACAACTTCATTCCAAATCTAGCTCTTTTTGTAGAAATATTTTGTTTCCAAGATAAATTCCCTTTCCATAATAAAAGAGATTCATCTACACATATTTCTCGTTCACATACATAAAAACTTTTAAACTTTTCTGACAAATTATTGATGCTTGGATCAATTTTATATGTTTTTTTATTATATAAAGGTTGGAGATATAAAAATATAAGAAAATAATACAAAAATAGGTAGGTAAGTGTAAGTACGTACCCGTCACTGCTCACCCAGAACACGTCCACCACTCTCAATAGCGAAATTATACTGATTCCCTCCGTGTCTTAAATTTATGTGGAGACATGTATGGATGACTAATACCTTTGTTGTTTGGAAATATACATCCCGCCTGTTTCAGGGCGCAACATATATTTCAAGGACATATTCATATGTCCTACCTGTACCCAATATTGTTTCCGTTTGATGTATTTATATGTCCCGCTCGGTTAACAGGTATTAAGACCTCCTAAGAACCTTATTATTATAAAATGTAAGTACTTTATTACCCCCAGTTTACAAGTAAGGAAACTTGAAGAGAGGTTAGTTAGTAGGTAACTTATCCCAAATATGGTTTTTACTCATTTTACCAACTTGCCCCATCCATAGTCCTGACACAAAAAATACTTTTTAAAAAATTACATATTATGCGGGTATTTAATAACCATTCAGAAGAATTTAGCAATATGCAAACATAGGTAGCACAGAATAATTCTACATCATAGTCTACAATCTAATTTAACTTTAAATACAGAATATATTTTAGGGTACACTTAAATTTTAAAAAATATATATATTTTTATTGATTTCAGAGAGGACTGGAGGAGAAAGAGATTGAAACATCAGTGATGAGAAAGAATCATTGATTGGCTGCCTTCTGCATGCCCCCTACTGGGGATGGAGCCTGCAACCTGGTTCATAGGTCGATGCTCAACCACTGAACCACACTGGCTGGGTGGTATACTTTAATTTTTACAGCAACTTAATCTGGCATACACAATGACAAAAAGGACTTTTAAGTAAACATCTTTTGACAAAAAAAAAAAAAAAAACACAAAAAAACCTTAGTCTTCGTATGTTGACTTATAACATGGAAGTTGAGTTGAAATCTTCCGGGAGAAGTAATCTCTGTGTGTGTGTGTGTGTGTGTGTGTGTGTGCTCTAAAGGAGGCTGAACGTATGCTTCAAGCTGACGACGACACTGTGCACCTTCCGTTTGAAGGGGGAAGTCTCTTGCAGATTCCGGTTAAGGCCCTAAAATACAGGTGAGATACAACTGTACCTTGTAAAATGTGTTTTATATACACATGTCAATTGCATGAATAAGTTATGTAATGCTTCTTTAAAATACTGGTACCTATTTTTAAAAAGGCAACAGAGCCTGCATCTGGCATATCAGCTAAAAGAGGGCTTCATGCAGTTCTCCTGCCCCTTCCCCTCCCAGGGTATAGACAGGAGCGAAGAAGAAGCTGGACTTGAGCCAGAGCTCTGGATTTCTGGGCCAAGTAGACAAGATTTTCTTGTCTCAGCACTTTTTCAGTTTCAGAGAAGTTGAAGGTCAACACACAAGTCTCTGAATATTCTCATTCTCTCAGTAGTACAGCTAGGGTCATTGTATGCTGGACAGTAAACCTTTGGAATGCATTTTCTGATAACCTTCTAATATACAACTGTTTAGAGGCCCGGGAACTCCTAGTGTCCAAAGGTGTGATTTGGCCACTGGCAGCGAAGGCTTATATTATGGGAAAATAATGAAATTTCATATTTCATTTGTCATGTGCTCTTTGGGTGATTTATATTTTAAATTTAAGAAGAACTAAAGATAGAGATTGGGAAATGTAAACATTTTTTTTGTAAAGATTAAAATGTAAACTTAAAAAAGATTAAAAACCTACATTATTTATGCACACTACTGATTCCTTTTTCTAAATATTTATCCCATTTTTGATTAGCTAGTTAGATCTCTGCTTTGCTGAATTCGGTAAATGTTTGTTAAATGAATTAATATAATAACTTCTTTGGTTGTACCTCTAAAAAGAGTTTAGGGAACTGCCATAGTTATTAGTGACACTCATCAAGTTGGGGAGATTATTTACTACTTAATTTCTGTTGGTCCTGCATTAGCACTTTCTCAGCGTGATTATACATGGGCCTTGACAAATGGAATTTGAGTTTGTCTTTAAACTGTGTGATATTGAACAAAAAGAATGGGTGTGTATTCACTTTTATTGTTAAAGTGATGACATGAACCATGATCAATGATACTTTCCTTCAAATTTGAACATCAAGAATACTAGGAATTGGCTGTTTATCTGCCAGAATTTAAAATTTTAATTACTTTTGGATTACTTGCCATGAAAATCAACGAGATCATTTATAGCACTATTTGGAAACTGTTTAGCCCTATACAATGCGAAAGTAATGTATTTAATGTGAACAGACTTCCCTCCATCTAATTTTGGAGGAAAACAAAATGTGTACTTTATTCAAAAAGGTCTTAATGTCTACTGATGGAAAAGTCCTGACTTAAAGGAGGACATTTGGAAACTAAAACATGCTTCAAGAATTCTTCTCTTTAGTTATTTGATGTTGGCAACCAAGCAAAGAAACATTTTTTCAGAGCAGGCAGAGTTCCAAGTTGCATTGCTGTGCCATTGTGAATTGGGGCATTCAAATTGTGTGCACTTTTAAAAAGTTGACCTGATGAAGCAGCCATTTCTAGAGACTCTAAAATGATCGTGTCCCACTTTTATAGTCTAAAATTTAAAATGATACTCAGATTTAAAGAATGAACAAAGCTAGCGCCCTCTAAATGACTGTTATTAGGTCATTTACAACCCAGCTGCCATCACATTGTTAATTTAACACCTAACTTGACATTCGTGTTTGTTGCTTTTTTTGCATGAAATGTTTTTCTTTTGCTGAAAAAAAAAAAAAGAGCTTGCAAATATGTTCTGTTAACTTCATGTATTTTTAGTACTTCCATATTACTTGTGACTGACAACTGTGAGCCCATAAAGAATTATGGATAACATCAATATTGGACTTAGGGTTTGGAAGTAATTTTTTACATTATTTCAAATAGACATTTGTTTTTTTATAATGAGACTGTATTTTGATCTTTCGATTTTCATTTGATTAATTTGATATAACACTTTGATACTAAAAATGCGAATGCCAGCAAAAATCAGTACTTACAAGCCTGTTTTTTTTGTATTACCTGTTGAAATATTTTCAGAGCTCTGTTTTCAGTTTTAAAGTGTCACCTTTCCCAGCATTCTTTTAATGGTTTAAAGAGCTTTAAAAAAACATAATCTTAATTTTTTCCTTACTTTGGATAGTAATTTGAAGAGAATGAAGTTTGTGCCAATTATGTTTTCTAATTGACTTGAGGCAGTATTATTTTTATATTTATTAACACAATAATATATTCTTGTATGTTATTTCAATAGTGTACTTATAGCCAAAATGATCATCTTTGGGCATCATTGCCAATATAATTAGCCTTACTTCTAGTTTAGACTATAAATGCATTTCCTCGTGAGACATTTATAATGGAACTCCTAATATTCTGATATCTTGCTAGACCTTGGTTTGTGTGCATGGCAAAGAGTTTTTTTTAATTTTAAGTTGATGAAAGCAAATATTATATTAATAATAATTACATTATTAATGCTTTTGCAAGTACTGAATACTAATAAAAAAGTGTATTTGTTCTTCAGTGTTGATCCCTCAGTTGTTAACATATCAGATGAAATGGCCAAAACTGCACAGTGGAAGGCACTTTCCATGAATACTGAGAATGCCAAAGTAACCAGATCTAATACGAGGTAGCTGTAACTATTTACGCATTTTCTATTTATAGCCAGTTTTCAATTTGCTTATGGATAGCTGTTCAGTAAAACCATTGTGTTTAACTTAATTTACATAATTTATATTTTCTTTACCTAAAACCAACTTTTTTTCTTCTTTTTCTTCCTTTTTCTTTTCATTTATTAACCCATTATTTTTCTGGATACTGGAATCAGGTAAAAATAGTGATTGTTTTATTTTTTAAAATTTGTTTTCTATTTCTAAAAATTTGAGCTCTTTTATAATAAAGATGAATATATATCTCTGATTGTATAAAATACATATATATATGAAATATCAGAAACCTTATAAAAATATAATTAGTAGGGAATAATAAATTCTATGATTGAACACTTTTAGTCATGCTCGCTGATGTTCCAAGAAGAAAACATAAAAGATTTTTTTAAAATTTTGTTTTAGCCTGGGATGTCTTTGGAGATCTTGGGAAGAAATGTAATCCATAGAATTTTTATAAAATCCATTCAGTTTTATAATGTCCCATATATCACATAACCATTTTATAACCCCTTTCTTATATTTCTTATTATGTAACCCTTTTTTCTTCGTTTCAAGGACTGAATCTCAGGAATTCCACTTTGATAATCATTAGTACTTTCATCCCTTAGGTGTCTGGAGAAATGAGGTATAATCTTGCTGGATACTCATTTTTTTATTATTATTATTTTTGTTAACCCTCAGAGATATTTTTTCCCATTGTTTCCCGAAGTAGAAGCAGGGGAGGAAGAAAGGGGAGGAGAGAGAGAGAGACAGAGAGAGAATGAGAAATAGATACATTGACTGGTTGGCTCCTTGCATGCATCCCCAGAGGGGGCAGGGAGTGAACCTGCAACCCAGGTAGGTGCCCTTACCTAAAATGAATTCAAACCCTTCACCCTTCAGTGTGCAGGCCAATGCTCTAACCATTGAACACACTGGCTAGGGCCTCATTCATTTTTAATAAATATTTATTTTGTGTACACTTTGTACCAGACTCTAGATTTTGTGTCAATATATTCTTTTTGGGCATCAGGTTAAATTTTTTCCAGGCAAGCAGTCACATAGTTATTTCTGTTTAGTTATTATCTTTCTGGTCCCCATCTTTTGATGATACTTGATTAGGGTTTTTTTTTTAATTTTATTTTTTGTTTTGCTTTATTCTTTCCCTACCTCCTTTTAGAATGTTACTACTACATAATCTCTCCATTTTTTTTTAATGTTATCATTTCTTGAGTTCTAATTTCTAAACTGGTGATTTCCTTATTCACTTATGTCTTTAAAAAATTTTTAAGTTGAACTCTGTCATTTTGGGTTATTTCATGTAGCCAGAATTTCACTCAATTCTCTTAATTTTTCACCCCTTGTCAGCACTCTTGGCCCAGATTCTTAATATAGTTATGATACGTGTATGTATATAAATATCTACCTTACAGTAATAATATAGTATTTTTATATTTCTGCCTTTTCTTTACGTTATCTCTCAATTTAAAATCAAATAGGAAGAAAGAGAATGAGTTATATTGTTTTAACAAAAAAATATTTGGGGGGGGGTACCTTTAGTTTTGTCTGGAGAAGGCAGCAAAACATAAGTGTGTTTTTATGCTCTTGAAAGTAATTCAGATCCCAGATATATTCATATAGTATAATTAAATCAGTTACTTAAATCCATATACATGGAATTATTGTACTTTGTATTAACTTTGGAAATAAGAATATGTATTTGATCTTATATTTATGAACCAAATTTGAAAGAGAAGATTTATAAATGTGTTGTTGTTGTTTTTTAGTAAATCTATTTGATGCTTACAAATGTTAATAAAGATTAATTTTTAATGGATTTGTCAGTGCAACAAAAGTCCAATGCTATCACTATTCATATATAAAGTAAAAGCAATAAATCAAACAGTAATATACTGAGCAATTTAAAGAGCTGTTCTTCAGCTGTAAGAAAAACAAACCTCAGTGGGGAAAATTATCTATTAAAAGAACTAAGAAATTTAATATTTGTCTTTCCAATTAAGTTTACAAATAGGAAAAGAAAGCAGTAAAATAATAGTAGCAAGACATTTATATTATTAATAGCCATCTGAAAGGCTTATTATGAAAGCTTATTGTTAGCCATATGTAATATCTTTTTATTTAAAAATCATTTATTCTCATTCTTTGTTTTAAATAGCCCCGAAAAACCTACCAGTGTGAAAATAAATATTGAAGATGAACCAACAAAGAAATACATGGATGCTGAAACTTCACTATAGAATTGAACCAAGAGGAGTTATATATATATATATATAGATATACAGATACATATATATATAATGTGTGTATTTCATGTCACTATAACAATATTGTATGTCATGCTATTTATGCGTGACCACTTGGTTTTTAAAAGTGGTGTCTGAAGTTTGTTAGGAGTGCCATGGAGACTTTGTATATAAAGAAATAGTCTTTTAGAAGTGAGGTGTGTGGTTCTTACAATTCAAATATTTATTCTGATGAAAAAAATTGTTCTGTTTTGCAATAGAAAGATGTGGGGACATGCATTCAATGTACATTTATTTAAATTTGTTTATCAGTGACAATTCATACCAATCTTAAGTGATACATACTTTGTCCATATATTTCTAATTTTAACTTGAGTTACACACATTATTTCACTTGTGTTAGTGCTTTATGGGAAGAATAGAGGATGGTTATGCCAATGCTATGGAACAGAATGTTAACATGTCATTGCTTCTCTTCGTGTATGTTTCCTTTATGTAGATGCCCATCATGGTTCACAATCGGTGGAATTTTTTCGCTATAGAGGTAGAACAATGGAAACTTTCTAGATATGAGCTATAGTTTTGACCCTTTTTAAATTTTTTTTATTTTAAACCTTTAAGACCTCCACATCTAGGTTTCATTTAGATGAGTAAAATTGCAGATGATTTTATAAATTAACCCCCATCCCAGTCATACATTTATGAATTTTAGAATGCTAGTTGCAGTAGTTAAATTTTGTTAGCATTGTAGAAATTTTTTCCCCCTGATTTCTAATACTTTATTAGAGCCCAAAATGTTCACTCTATTCTCTGCCTTTGCTATCTTTTACTTAAGTGTGGTTTAGCTTGTATCAGGTTCAAGGTTTTGATTATTTTTCTATTATAAGTAGTACGATGAAATAATCAGGAGTCAGAATTCTCTTAAATGGGTTTATGATCAGTATTACTTTATTCTAGTAGGATTTACCTTTCATTTTCTGTTTACATTGTTCTTTCTATTGTATAGATATTTAATAGATTGTTATGTGATTTCATTTTTAAATATTTTATTTATTTTAATTGATATGATGCTTATGTATTATAAACAAACATTTGAAAAGGTAACAAATATAGAGTAAATTGTTAATGTAAATAGTTGGTGCTCATTGCATTTACAGTTTATTATCTGAAAGCAGTTGATAGATTTTACATCTTTATATAAAGCACTGCCATATTTGTATTTTAAAAGGAATTTGGAAATTTTATGTATAGCTCAGATTGATGGGATTCTTTCTGTTTTGTGTTAGTATTTGTTACTTAGTTTTTGATCTTCTGAGCTGTCTTTTAACTTCTAGCAAATCTTTTTAGTCATCTTTTTCCTACTCTTAGCTCCACATGAAATAAATAAATGTTCTTGTTAAGCCTGTAGGACTGGATGAATGGGGTTGTGAAACTAATTTGGCAAGACAATAGTTTAATGACAGCTAAATGAATATAGAGAAGCCCCAGAAATATTTAAAATAGTGACATGAATAGTAGGACAAAAATATTACTGAAATTACAATGCTCCCTTGAATCATTAGTAATTAAGTACAAAAGTAAGAAGAATGATCTTATAAAGGATCATGAGAAATGCCCAAAGCTGATACTTGAGCAATTTGGAATGCTTTTAAATCTATTCTAAAATACTTAATAACTAATGTAATTTACCCGCTGAGACTGTATTATCAGATTCTAGCTAAAATAACAGATGTAACTTATGCCTCAGATGGGAGGTTGCGAATGTAGCCACTCTTAAACATAGTTGGCATCATTTTGTACTGCCTAAAAACGAGTTCTACTCTATTGACAGTTGATGATAGAGTATTTATTACCCACGGTGCTTGTTATTGTTCTTGCGCTTCCATTGAAGTGATTCCTTTTTGTTCATAGCAGCATAATCATTTCCAAAGACCCCCTGAACTTGCTGCTGTATTTTGTAAACTCCCCTGATGTATATGAATAGGAGGATTTCCTCACATAATTTCCTTAAGTCTGGACATCATAGCGTTAACAAATGTGCATTGTTTTATAGGTTGTGATTTTAAAATTTAAACTGAAAACTACCTAGGATCATAGTATTTCTGTGATTTTATTGAATTATGTATAGTGATTGTCCAGTGCCAGAAAAACCATGACTTGCAAAATACTTTGCACTCAAAACGTTTTTAGTACGTTTCAAATTTGATAATGGTTTCTGCTTTCTTTTGACTACTTGACTTATAAAATGATTTGATATGACTACTCCATTGAAAAGCAAAGGTAACTCAAGTTTAAGAAATTAACTGCTTGTTTTATATGGTTATATTATTCCACTATTTTTGAAAAAATAACAATCATGGATAGCATTCATTGCCAGAGAGTGAAAAATATAATTTCTACATATATTGATTTTTAAATGTTGCCTTAAATAGGTGGAAATGAGCAGTTAGTAATTGCTATGTACTGATTTACCTCAAGGTGCAAAATAATTCAACCTGTACATATTCCATTTACGAAATAAGTTCACAGACACAGCTCTGCACTTTCTTAGATGCCTTGGTTTCCAGGATGGAGCTTAGTGCTACTGAATACCCTGGCTCCAGAGCCACCTCAGGATATTCTTCTCTCCACCCTGTTTTATTTATTTATAGACACTGCTTACAAAGACTATAATGAATCCTGAAGCTGACCACCTGAAATTTACTTTTTTTGAATGCTACTTCGTTCTAAAATAGCAGCTTTTGAAAAAACAGTGAACTAACTTCCTTATGATAAAAGGATGATTCTGTATATTTTCTAATATTAGGTATGTCGAGTGAAGCACACAGTCTTTCTAATGGGTGCGTGTGCGTGCGTGCGTGCGTGCGTGCGTGTGTGTGTGATTTATCAAATCTTAAATCTCTCAAGTTGTTTAACAAAGCTGTGGCGTATCAACGTTCACATTTGCCAAGTCTTCTGTAAAACATATAGGACAGAATTTTTTAATGTCCTAGTGTGTGTATTTATAAAGCAGATTTATTTACCACTCAAGATTCATTTTTTTCATCCAAAAACATTTCTTTTTTCTTCACGTACTCAAAATTTATTTTATGTATATAATAGCTTTTTCCTTTTACAAAGACAGGTTCAAAATTCTGTACAAAGAGAAAATGGTTTCTGAAACTGAGGTACGACACCAGAGCTTGCTGTCTTGTCGGGATTATATCATGTACATCAGTTCTGTGAATGTGCTCAAGAATTTTACATATAAATCCTGTTTTAAAGTGCTCAGATTTCAGATATGTCAGCCATTGATACAACATTTTAATTAAAACAATGTTTAATTTAATGTTTTAAATTTATTTATATAGATCGCATTGTTGTTGTCATATACAGTACAAATATGTGAAATGTCTTTTGGTTTAGTCCGATAATTATTTATTTTTTAGAAAGTAAACTTAAAGACTTTAAGGACATTCAAAATTTAAAATAGTGCTCAGAATTAAAAATTTGACAATTTAATGTAAAATTGATTTTTTTTTAACTTTTCAAAAAATAATATAAGTATCAATAGGAAAACATATATTTGGAAATGGAATCATCTAAAGATCACTTTAAAAATTTAATTTATCAGCACATATTGACTTCTATAGTTGACTTAGAATAATTGTTAAATCCCAGTTTTTAAATCAGATTTTTGTGCATTGATTGATTTTTGAGTTTTGGCTTTTCTTTTGTTGTTTTAATATTGAAAGTTTTTGTTTTGTTTTGATTTTTTTCTGTAGAGGGGGTTATCTTCAAATGTTTACTATATTTAAATAAGTAGAAATTGAATTTTATTGTTCATTTATGTAATATTTGATAGCTTGGTATAATTTCACAGTACAGTTCTAATTTTTATGACTTTTATAATTACAATGATATTTTTTTTGTAATAAAATCCAAAGTAAATTAAACATTTAAAACGTAGAACTGATATTTTTCATTTATATGAAGTACAAGTCTCTTCCAAGTCTAATGTGAATGACCCTGCCTTTTAAATTTGTTTTATAATTGTTAGAAGAAAACTATTTTTTGGAGATGTTATTGAAGTTGAAAGAGCAATAAAAGTCTACTGAATTAGTTGTTTGGATAGTCTTTATTTTGTACTTTGATATTTAGGAGAGTTGCATATCATGCTCATGAGGAGGGATAGGAGATAAAGAAATGGAAGTGATTTCTATTTCTTACCTCCTGATACATGCTTCAGTAAGAGAGAAAAGAGAACACTGATAAAAGATGAAACAAAGTAGTGTGTATTCATAATTACTTTTTTTGACAATTGAGAAATTAAAACCCCGTAAGATAGGCTGATTTATTATTTTTCCTATTTTAAGACATCTGGTTAGGGTAGAATTTGCAATGTGATGAGCACACATCACGTTACATGATATGTAATGACAATGTTACTATTGGGTGCTTGTTGTGTACCAGACAGAATTCAAAACTCTCATTTCATTTGCACTTCACATCAACATCTGGTAATTAATTTTCATGCCAGTTGAGTTGTAAAATGAAGACATAAGAAATTTCCCAAGTTGCCCAACATAGAAAAGCCCGCCTTCATTCCCCCACCCCAGGCCTTCACCACACTATTGTCCATGGGTTATGCCTATATGCACACAAGTTCCTTGGTTGATCTCTTCCAACCCACTCATACACACTGCCTTCCCTCTGAGATTCCATAGCCTGTTCCATGCTTCTATGTCTCTGGATCTATCTTGTTCATTAGCTTTCACATGTGAGTGAGATCATGTGGTACTTGTTTTTCTCTGACTGGCTTATTTCACTTAGCATAATGCTCTCCAGGTCACTCCATGCTCTCTCCAAAGGTAAGAGATCCTTTTTTACTGCCATATAGTATTCCATGGTGTAAATGTACCACAGCCTTTTTATCCACTCATCTACTGATGGTTCCTTGGGCTGTTTCCAGAACTTAGCTATTGTAAATTGTGCTGCTTTGAACATAGGAGTGCATATATTCTTTCTGATTGGTGTTTTGGGCTTCTTAGGATACATTCCTAGAATTGGGATCACTGGGTCAAATGGCAGTTCCACATTTAAAATGTTTGACGAAACTCCATACTGTTTTCCATAATGGCCGCACCAGTATGCGTTCCCACCAGCAGTGCAGAGGGTTCCCTTTTCTCCACAAGCTCCCCAGCACCAGCCACAGCAATTCTTAAAACACCCTAAGATGAAGCTTTTAATATATATATATATAATTGATTTTTTTACAGAGAGGAAGAGAGAGGGATAAAGAGTTAGAAACATCGATGAGAGAATCATCTATCAGCTGCCTCCTGCAACACCCCTACTGGGGATGTGCCCGCAACCAAGGCACCTGCCCTTGACCAGAATCGAACATGGGACCTTTCAGTCCGCAGGCTGAAGCTCTATCCATTGAGCCAAACCGGTCTCGGCAGATGAAGCTCTTCACACCCATTGCATTTCAAATGCTAAAGGCTGGGATCACCAAGTCTAGAAAAATCCATCGTGTTGAGGAAGCCCTATGTACCCAGCTGAGCAGCTCCAGAGCGGAGTCAAGCGGCTGCAGCACCACCAGCTCTCTCTGCCCCAGCTTGCAGACCTGGGGCTGGATCCTGCGCGTTCTTTGGTTGCTGCGGCAACGCCGAGGCAGCGTCACCTGTGGCTCGGGCGCTGGGCGCGAGACAGCACTGCTGCTCCTGATTGGCTGCGGCGCCTGGGCGAGGCAGAAGAAGGGGTGTTGGCATTGGCCCAGCCGGCGCCGGTTGGTGGCCTAGAGGAGGATTTGATTGAAAAAAAATCTCAACGGTGCAGCTGGTATAGGTGCCTCGGAGTTGCAGGGGCCGGAGTGGGCTTGGGGAGGGCGGACGGGCCCTCCTGTCCGGAGCAGCGGGGGCCGCCGCAGAGAGGATGAGAAGGACCCGTTAGGGACTGGCCTGAAGGAGGGACCTCCCTCCAGCGCGGTGAGTCCCCCTCCCCGGGCCCGCGTGCGGTTTGAGCAGGGACTCCAGGGAGGTGCCCACGGGTCCCTGCGGAGCATCCCGAAGCCCCGGGAGTCGGCCTGAAGCAGGGGCTGCCAGTGGGTAGGGGCTTCCCTGGGAGCCGTTCTCATAGCCGATGGGTTGGTGATGGGCGGGTGGATGGTGGGGAAGTGCCATCAACGGTGTTTGTTCCATGCAATAATTATATTCTGGTTATACGGAGCCTGAGCGTGTCTCTTCCAGTCTGCCCCCACGTCTCTGGAGACTCGGGCAAAAAACCCTTGTGGCGCGTGCTTTTTATGCGCTCCCCTGATGGGATGCTGCTGGGACTGGCCCTCGGCGCTTCTGCTCCACGTGGATGAGCCTGTGCATCTTCCTGCCTCAGGCCCAGATGTCTGCTGAGGACCGGAAAGCTTCCAGCCTCACTGAGTGCAGGCCCCCGAATCCAGCTGCCAGTGGTACTCCACACATGTGCTCCCCTAAACCCCATTCCCCCCGCCCGCCTTCCCCCCACTCCCACTAGACTGCCTCACCATTGGGTTCCCTGTCTTGGCATCACCTATTCAGTTACCAAAACCACCTTCTGGGCAACAAATTGGACATTAACCACCTCTTCTGCATTTCCAGCAATTGCCAGGGCTGTACCTTCTTACTGGCTGCCCAGTCAATTCCCAAAGCACCATCTCCATTCTCACTCTATTGCGTTTTCCACCAATTCCTTGGTTAAATTCAACACCCATCCAACTCCCCTGATTCCAGTCTGGCCCTATCAAATCCATTGTCATCCCTGCCAGACGGATCTTTCTAAAGGAATATATACGGGCATTTCCCTGCCTGCAAAAATTCAAATCCAGTTAGGTCTTCTATTGGCAGCTCCATATTGTTCCCAGAACATGCCACATGCTCTCCTGTGCATCGTAATTTCACCTGTAACTCACACTGCCTGCAGAGGGGTGGCTGCAGCTGTGGGCTCGAGGAAGCTGAGGGAGGGACCCAGGCCGCAGCCTGTAGCTGCAAAGGCCTACTCTTGCACGAATTTCATGCATCAGACCTCTAGTGATATTATAATGATGAATCCATTATACATGTGTCCAAACTCATAGAATGGACAACACCAAGAGCTACTTAACTTTTCAGTGCCTGGGTTTCTTCATCTGTTAAGTGGGAGATACAGCATTATCTACCTCATAGGATTGTCTTGAGGATTAAATGAATATGTCAAAGTGCTTCTAAAAGTGAATCCTAAATAATATTAACTTAAAAAAATTAAAATGAAGACTGACATTGAAAATAAAACATTTTTTTTTCATTTTATATATACCCTGTTTCCCCGAAAATAAGACAATATCTTATATTAATTTTTTCTCCCAATGTTGCGCTAGGTCTTATTTTCAGGGGATGTCTTATCTTTCCATGCACTAGGTCTTATTTTCGGAGGATGTCTTATTTTCGGGGAAACAAGGTAGTATTTGTCACCAATGTATCTCAGTCAGTGAATTTAGTCAGATGATTTAAAATAAGCATGATAAGCTCTTCAAGTTGAATAGTAATATCGCCAATGATAATATTTACACCAGCTATCATAAAAGTAACTTACATTTCTATAGCCACCCCCCATTTTAAAGGGGCTTCCCTTTGCCGAAGCTGGTTTATTTCAGTGGATAGAGCGTCGGCCTGTGGACTGAAAGGTCCCAAGTTTGATTCCGGTCAAGGGCATGTACCTTGGTTTCGGGCACATCCCCAGTAAGGGGTGTGCAAGAGGCAGCTGATCGATGATTCTCTCTCATCCTCTCTGCAAAAAATCAATAAAATATGTTTTAAATAAATAAATAAATAAATAAATAAGGGGCTTCCCTTGATTTAGTTCTAAGCACCACCTTATAAAGGAGATGTTGTTAGTTCTATTTTTGGTAAACTAATAATCAAGGAGGTCCAGGGACTTTCCGAGGTCACTCAGCGGGCCGGTGGAAACCAGGTCTCTGCTGCTTTTGGCCTCATCCGCCCCCCCCCCGCCCCCCCCCCCCCCCCCCCCCCGCGTCACCGGAAGAATTTACATTCCCAAACCTTTAACCTCTCATCAGTGGAAACCACGGCATTCATTTACAGAAGTGATATGTTGCACTTGATGTAAATATGCACATCCTTCTTTCCTTTAGGAAATGTTATTGTCCCT